GGCGCCATCTTCCCCATGTGTTTGCGCGCAACAAATGTAGATCGATCCATTGTCTTGATTGACTGGTTCAATTGCCAGAATCTCAGCTTCCTGATCTGGCAGCCAGTAGTTATACCTTCATCCCCTGATTGAACCAAGGTTCTTGTCCCGTGTCACATGTGACATGTTGATAGTTAGCGTGAAGAAGATTTCCACTTCTAGGTGTGATGCCGCGGTATGTAGATACCTTAGAGGTAGGTATCGTAATGTTGAATGGGCCTGGACTTCCATGGAATTGAGGAGAGAAGCTATCGCGACATAGTAGCAGAGGCGGAGTAGAAGGCGCATATGGGCAGGAAGAATGAAGCGCTCGTCCAAATGTCAAACGGGCAGATAGAAGTCGCACAACAAACAATATAATATCTTGAGGTTCGCCGTTTGAGAAGAAGGTTGTCAACATGGTTAGTGTACACGACGAAAAAGCTGCTGTTGGTGTTGGTGTTGGTGATGGTGTTTCAGCGGTTTGTTGGACGAGGTGAGTACAGAGTGGGGTCCTACAACAGTAATCGCTCGGTGAGCGGGAGGCGGGCGAGTCCGGTCTTTTTAGCCAGCCAAGTGAAAACCCTAACCCTTGCAAAACACCAAACACACGATAATGAACCCTCGAATTCGACATCGGGAGCATGGTAAACATTCTATCTATTAGTTGAGCTCACCCAAACAGACCGCGGACATGACAATGGAGGGCCATACCTCCCTCCCCGACCTCGAAATCAAGCGGTAATTAGCTGCATACCATACACCCGAACTGAGACATCGAGAACAGAACGTTGAAATCTAGAAGACCGGTAGCTCCACTACGCTTGACTCCACCCACCCACTCAAAGATTTAAGCTTTGCCAAGCAACCTACCGTTCGAACCCCCCCTTCCTCGCTCCGATCCCGTTCCATCTCCGAGTTCTACGCCTTCGGTGTGTTGAGATATCGCAAGTTCCAGCATAGACAGTCCATAAATTTTGATATGACGACGAATTCCTGGGTAGATTACAACACTATGATAACGGTAGGGGACAGATTTCCCCTTTTCATTTTTTGCTATCCTCCTGAAATTTCTCCACCACGGTGACAGAAATGGAACCCAAGCCAATGATGCTCAACCGGAAACCGAAACCTTCCATTCATCAAAAATAAAACTGCTGTTGAGGTGGCTGGCCAGGTGGTGGGTGGGCTAGAAAGTCGAAATTCATCGTGTCTACGCCGGTGTTGAAGGGGTCAGGTGATTCTGAACTCAGCATCACTTTATGTCAGCCTGCGAAATCCAGGCAGAGAAGGGGAAGGGAAGAACAGAGAAGAGAAAAAGAACTAACCCCAAAAGATAGAGTCGTAAAGATCCATCGGCGACATATAAGTAGCCGGATCAAACTGCGACATATCCTGCGGCATCACACCTCCACCCGGGCCCGAACCGGCGCCGGCAGCGGCACCCGGTTGTTGAAGTGGTGGCATGTTATACGGTACCCTAGGTAATCACCTTGTTAGCATCACTTCCACAACCCCAGTCAGATCCGCGATAGAAAAGAAGACATACCCTCCCTGATACTCCGCCCCGGCCCCTAACTGAGACTGCCCCCCATTCTGCTGCTGCATCTCCGCCATCGCCAACGCTGCACTCTGATGCGGATCCAACGGTCCCGTCGCTCCCAGCTGCTGCTGAACCCCCCCTCCTCCTGCTCCTCCTCCTCCTCTTCCCTGCTGTTCTTGCCCAAGACCATATAACGGATATCCATTAGGAGGCAGCCCCGCAAGCTGGCTGATCTGCAATGGCGTCCTCAACCCCGACGCCGGGCCGGAAATGCTTGCCTCGCGCTTAATCCCCGCCGGACCCACGACCGATCCATGGTCGTAGATATTCTTGAGCGCCGTCAACGCGCGCGACAGCGGGCCCGAGAGCTCAATGTCGTGATCCGACCTCGGGATGTGCGGCTGCGGCGACGTTTGCTCTTTAGCCGCTGTGGCGGACAGGGCCGAAATCAAATCGCCTTGGAGCTGGCGTACTTCCGGGTCAGCTTTGGTCTCGCCGAGGATCCCCAGCAAAACGGCCGACGACAGGCCGTGATAAGTAAAAGCCCAGGAGCGCGTGGGGATCACCGAGAGCTGGTGCATGGCGAGGAACATGCGGACTGTTTCCGTCAGGTTTTCCTTGCATTTGTCGGCCAGGTACTTCTTCTGGGACTTTTCGAGCTGGTTGTTTTCGCGCTGGAGGGCAGGCCGACAGCAGACGGAGACGATGAAGGAGGTGTGCAGTCTGATGGCGTAGTGCTGGAGGCGGTCCATGGCGGATTTGCAGGCGTCTTTGGTCCGGAGTTGTACAAAGAGTTTATCTCGTATGCTTTCCACGTCCGCGCAGTTAGTTAGGATTTGGTTGTAGGAGGCGGTGGCGGTTGCATCAGGGTTTAGGCGTTGCGATATGATTTGATTTAGATGGTACATTGCTTCGAGATAAGACCACCCGTCTGTCTCGGCAGTCGGTGAAAGGGGGATAGGACAACACGCGATGTTGGTCATTGGTGATCGGTCAAACGATAACGAAGTGAGCGTATCGTGCCAGAGGCAAGTCCACCTGAGGGCAAAAAGTTAGTATGGGATAGGAGTTTCAAACATGGTGGATCGTACCAAAGTCTCCTCCTAGACATTTCCCTCTTCACAATTTCGGGCGACTGACGGCCGTCAAGAACCTGTGGACGGTGAAGGCCGAGCGACTGTGCCAATCGACATGTGAGTCCTAGCAAAGCCCAGGAAGCTTCCGCTTTCATGTCATTGAGTAATACAAAGCTCGTCATCAACATAGCTTGTATTGAGTCCAGGTTCGGCCTAGACCGAGTTAGCAGTCGAATAACGGACATTGATCGAACAAACGTGCAACATACCTTAACAGAAAGTTACCCAGCCTGAGAAAGTGAAAAGAGATTTGGATATACTTTTGCGCATCTCTTGTTCGGATATGGTATGGGGTCTCGTGGTATTGTGAGCCAACCGCAAGGACGGCGAAGAGGATGGCGAGCCATGATGCAGAGACTGGTTTTGTTGTCTTTGTAGCGGCTCTGGCATTCTTTGCTCTGTCTTCGAGATAGATCATCAACCGAGACTCGAGGTCGTCAATGTCGATAACGAAGCCCCAGAAGGGTTGGGGAATTTCCTTGTAGGTTCGGAAAAGTCTACAGGGGTGTGAGTCTATGTTTCTCTCCAGATGGTAAGGCGAGGGAGGGTGAGAATGCGCACTTCATGACCTCCCGGTCGGAAGGCAGTTCAGAAGAAATATCGGACGTTAGCCTGTCCAAGTGGCGGGAGGACATGAGCGGAAAGGGGGCCGAGTTATCGAGCCCCAGTAGGGAACGCATGTCTTGGCGTATAAAGCTTACGTCCTGTGGTTCATCGGCTGCGGTTTGTTCCCTTAGAAGCGCTGGGATGCTATTCTGGCCAACATAACGCGTGATCTCCACGGCTTCGGGCTCTAACAGAATGGTTAGATGTGACCACCAACCTTGGGGAGATGTGTATGGAATTGGGGAGCTGTGTGACACACCGTATGTTCTTATTGATTCGCGGGCCTCATGGCTCAAGCTCCGGCCTTCTTGAGCATCTGGCGAGTGCGGCCTCTTCTTGGAGTGAGAGAGATCGGTGGAAACAGATGACGGTTTGCCGGATGCTGACTTGTTGGGTTTGTAGGAACAGAGCTGTGGGTGTTCCCGCTTGACGCAGTTTTCACATGGACTTTTGTTGTCACACTTTACTTTTCTCTGTCTGCAGGGCCAGCAGGCGGTACCTGTGGAGGGGGTTAGTAACGTGAGTAAGAATTTGAATCAAGATAAGGTACTAAGCATAAGTTGTGGGTGGGTAAGGGAAAGCAGTATGTAGTGTATATGAGTGTCTAGAACCAGAGTTGAGGTGCATCAGGGGGACTTTTGAACCGGATTGCTGGGACCGGACCCGGCAAGATGGGGGGTCCAAAACGGGTGGGAAGCGTGGGGAAGGTTGGGGGCAATCACACAGCCTCAAAGGGAGAGTGACAAGAGGTTACATGTTATCCGGAAAGTGGACAGACAATGCATAATCATGAAGGGAAAATACCTGATGATGATAACATGGAAGAGATGAACAACTGAGAAAGACCCACTTACCATATCGAACTTTGCGGTGGGAATGGATAATGCGGTTGGCCTCCTCAGGAGTAAGATCCTCGAGGTTGGGGCTCTCATGAGAGTCGGACATGGACATGGCCTCTGCTGTTTCAAGATGACTAAGGTAGGTAGGTATATGAGGGCTACACGAGTCGGGGCTGGGCGGAGACGGCGGCGGGATGTGGTCAGCTTTGGACAGGATGAAGGCCGGAAACCAACGGGGTCCGCCAGACCACCACCCGACCACTTGTTCTCCTTACTTTCCGAGTCGTCGGTGTGTGTCTCTCTCTCTCTCTCGTCACTCTTTCGGAATGTGGACGGCTCGGACGGCGACGAAGGTAGTGTCTAGTAGCCTCCGTTGGCGTGCCCTATGAGCGTCTGACCCTATGCACACTGCAACAGCGAGCAGCAACTCGGCAGCGCCAAGGGTTCGGGGTTTGGTGGATCCGCGGCTATTCGAGGGGGGACCGGGAGGGAAAGGGAAGGGATTGACTGATGGACGGACACGGGCCCTGGATTTCCGTCGGGAAAGGGGTGGGTGAGAGAATAGTGTAAGTATGGTTAATATGGGGGGGGGGGAATACCGATGCAAATCCGAAGGGAGGGCACTCCGAGGGATAAAAGAAGCCGAGAAAGCTTTTTTGTAGCAGAGTAGAACGAGGAGGGGTCCTTTGAGATGGAGTCCCGGTTCGGAATTGGCGGGATCTCTTGAGGGAGGCCCGGGGTCCAGTGTGGAATGGATTGGAACGTCGAGTGTTCAGTGGCGGACTCTGCTGGCGGCATCCGCGACGATTCATTGGATGGCTAGCCGGCTTCTACCGTTGACGGGGCACGCCTAGTCTCAATAGTGGTGTTGTCCGATATGATTCTTGCGACACCTTTCCCAACAAATATTAGACTCTGGAAAAGTTCACTTCCTTGGCCAAACACCGAAATCGAATTCTTTAAAGTCTCAAGTCTCCCGTCTCTCATGCTAGGTAGCCCTACCGCGTACGTAGTGTAGTAGGTCCGAATAGGTTCGTACGCTGTCCCCTTAGGGGGTTAGTCTAACAGGGAGACAGGGTACAGTCTCTCGGGAACAGAGACGACCAAGCTTCCTGTGTGACATCATCTTGAGACCATTCGTCTGATGGTCCATACAAACCATACATGCTGTGTAGAGAGCGGTGGGAGAATTAGAGGTTATTCCAAGATTTTCTGAATATGCTGTACATCCGTTCATCCATCGGTGCGACGGGAATTGGCACGCATGAGTCGACATTTGCAATGTGTTGGTTGGCACGCACATCGATAGTGTACATATGTGTCGGCGACCCGAGACTGTCCAATGGACCAATGGTAAGGTATGAGCGGCGAGTGGGTCAAAGTTAATGTATACAGTACACTGTACTTGAGGCTGTAGCAGCGGAAGCATCCGTCCTCGAATGGACATTGCCCCAAGCCAGCCAACACTGGTGTCCATCAAAAGGGTGTTTCCCCGTGGGGGAATAACGTGCCTGTGAAAGGACCTTTGGGTGATGTATCACCGATGTGTCCATGAGTAGTCCATGAATAGTCTGGGATCAGTCCGGGATGAGTCCGGGATAAGTCACCGATATATCCATGACTTATCTCTAATTCATCCCAGCGAGGCCAGAATGAGCATGGCCGACAGCAACACCATCACCGGCACCAGCGTATGAGTTCCTCACATATGTCAGGCATATGTATGCATAGAGCATGCACCGCATATCTGAGAGCTGCCTGTGACTACCTAGAGGTATGTAGAGGTAATGTCACGTTCCTTACCTCTCTCATGTATCCCGCAGTCACTCATTTTCTGTAGTGCAGACGGGAATTAGCCCCGCCTTTTGGATCCTGGAGTGTCCCCATTCCACGCACTTGCCAAGTGCTGACAGGGCACCGTGCTGCCTGGACCTTTGCGGGCCGTTCCTTCTTGACCGGCGCCAGGCAGCAGACCGGTTGGTTCTTGTTCCTCAAGACAACCAGATCCTGGAACCTCTGATCATCCCTCGTTTACTCAGACGAAAAAAACTTCAAAGTCGTCGTCAGATTGATAGAACTGTTTAAACAGGACACGCCCGCTCTTTCGTCTCTCATGCCCTCGAACCTCACGTCTTCCATCTCTCGTCCGATCCTCCACCCCCCTCCCCACGACCCTGATTCAGCAGCGACCTGACCTGTCACTTTACTGTGGACTCCTCCTAGAGTAGGGCTGGCCATCCCCGGGCCTCCTGCAGGTTCTGCAAGTCAAAGCGATGGAAGGATGGGCGTCCAGTGGGTGCGGCATACAGCCATTTCCAAAATGGTCTCGTCGCATGCGAAAAAAAAAAAAAAAAGGCTACGAGCCTGCGACACCTGTGCGGCCACTGCGGCTACCCTTCACCACCACCAGTGATATCATCACCCATACCACCAGGGCCACTACCGCCGCGCTCTCTTGTACATCGGGCTGAATGTGACCAATTGCGCCGACAGCGGGCTTTTCGATCCTGTGGGCAGGTTCTTCCACCGGTTTGCGCTGATCTGGGAGCGTATCGAGCTGGATTGGGACTGTTTACCACTCGAATCACTTGACGGCTCGGCGCGATTCTATGGCCATCCACCGCGATTGATCGGTCCCTTCACTGTTTCCTGCAACCTAGGTACTCTCCAGATCAGACGAGGCTTTGTGCCCAGTTCCGGGCGTTGCCAATTATAGCCACAGCACGAAGCTCGCCAAGTTCGTTCGAAATGCTCAAAAGTGTGCACACACTTTGCACGAACAGGACCACCACCAAAAACCACCTTGGCCCGCTCGCGCGAACCGTGTCTTTGAACTCGATCAGCCCCCATCCCAAACCAGGTCGCCTTTCCCCGCTGCGACTGCTTGTCCCGACTTCGTGAAGCAAACAAGACTGGCGGCTATGGCCAAGGCCCATTCCATAACAATCGGTTAATCGAGGTCAAAAACTACAAGAGACCAACGCCGCAAAGATATACTTGTCGTTCACCCCGACAACCGCAAAGCCTTGAAGCGCAAAGCCACAGTGGTGTTGTTTACTCCCGCACACTTATCGACCCTCACGCCCAAGACGCTCCCGCTTGGTAGAAGCTCGAGTCGGGAAATCAGGTATATCTCACAGTCGCCTTGTCTTCCTGTTCGGTGGTGGTCGCTTTTATCATGCCTTATCGCTAACCCGGTTGTATACTCTACTCCAGGCCCGATCTCCCACGGCACAAATGAACCCTATTACTCCTAGGAAGAGGAATAGCCCCGTCGAGGAAATCATAAACCGGCTCAATAACGACTACAACCTGGGCATCCAGTGTGTCGCAGACACAACTCTCACCCCCCACCGCCGGAAGGAGCTGGCCGAGAGTGACGAGGATTTCGGTCGCCATGACAAGATCTACAGAGCCCTGAACTTTCTCTACTGGCGGAAGGATGACTCCCTGAACCAGGCAGAAGCCAACTTCTTCATCGAGGCCAAAGCTGCGAGCTCGAACTGGGTGCCCAAAGCCCACGCCGACCCTAATACCCTTCCGTGGTCCAAGGAACCTCCACGCGCCGCTACTGCGGGCCAACAATGGGCATTGCAGACTGTGTTGCTCGAGGTGCTTAATAGGTTTATGCCACCTCCCAACAACACGCCGGGTCGAACGTTTGGCAGAACTCTAAGCGGCCCAAGCGGCCTGAGCCGCCCAACCCCTACCAACACCAAACGTAACGATGAGCCTGCCAATGTCACTTTCGCTGATCCGCCCAAACGCTCGTTGGCTCGCTCTGCCACAGGTCCTCCTATTCACGGCGCGGCGATACCCTTAAAGTTTCCCGATCCAGTGAACACCGGTTCCAAACGACCATCTCTCGAGAGTGAGAATCTCAATCAGTGCACCAAGCGGGCTAAGGGCAAGCTGTCTGATAATGTTGCCGCTGCCGCCGCCCCGCCCGTGCCTATTGCGAGCGCTTTGGACAAGGTACCGACTCGACGACATGCCAATACGAGAGACCCTACGGCAACAGGTCAGGGACGGGCGGACCAGGGGGATTCTTTCGCTACATCCCAAGGCACTTCCTATGGTTCGAGTGTCTTCAGCGCTTGCCGTCACAATCAGAGCACTACCCAGAGTAGTTTTGAGGCTCCTCCTTCGCAACTCAGAGAGAAGCGGCCTGTGGATGCCACGGTCTTTGAGACTGGAAACTTGATTGAGTCTCCTAGCAAAGGAAGAACGACCAAGCCCCACATAGAGAACCAGCCCCTTTCATCGTCCTCCCAGGGTGAAACTTCGTTCAGCACTTACTATGAGTCGTTTCCAAGTTCCGGCGGTGAGGGCGCAATTCCCGAGCCGAGTCGCTCAAATGGACTGGCTCGGAGCGAAGAAAGCGCTCGATCTCAGGTTCAAGTTCATGCCCCGGTGGTTGCAGCTCGGCTGAGAGATATTTGGCCGAAATTTCCCAAATGGCTACACGAAGCTCCTCTCGCTGTTGCATGGGAAGTTATCAGACTCTTTATGCACTGCAAAGTAGACTTGGAAGACGAGAGCCTGGGCCTAAAGTACGACCCTTCCTGGTCTACCGCGCGCGATGTCACAGATATCTGGAAAACTCTCTACCGGCTTGACGCTTTCCGTGGTAAACCCTTCCCAGAGAAGCCGCCCAACGACGTGTTCGCTACCGCAATGACGGGCAACTTTGAGAGCAAAGGTAGTGCCGTTGTTCTTTCTGCTATTCTAGACTACAATCCGGACAACTCGCCTACTGCGCCCCTTTACCTTGTGAAGCTGAAACCGCTCATGTTCGAGCAGGGCTGTCGACTCACCCGTCGGTTCGGTCCTGATAGGTTTTTCGAGATCCTTATACCGTCGCCTACGAGCACCAGCCCAAGTGTACCGCCGGTGGTTAGCAAACAACCAGGTGCAGTCGAAGAAGTCATCCAGTGGCTCACAATGGGGCCGCATTCCCTTGTAGGCCGCCAGTGGCGCGCTTTCTTCGCCAAAGATGCCGGATACAGGAAACCTCTCAGGGAGTTCCAGCTCCGCGCCGAGGATCCGAAACCCATCATCAAAGAGAGAGTCCACTTCTTTGCTGAGACCGGCATTACGTTCCGACCTGATGTGTTCAAGACGAGATCTGTCGTTCCGGCAGAGGAACCTGTAGAGCAACGGACCGAGTTCAAAGTTAGTCAAATGCTGGACTGGCTACTGCAACTCGACAACAACACTTGGCAGCCGCACCTGAAGTTGTTCTCCCGTATCCAGCTCGGTCTGAGTAAGACGTACGCCATTATGACGTTGGAGCCTCACCAGATCAGACACCACAAGACAGATCTCCTCTCACCTTCAGGCACTGGTGAAGTGATGAATGACGGTGTAGGCCGCATGTCGCGAAGCGTGGCCAAGAGGATACGCGATGTTCTCGGTTTGGGTGATGTGCCCTCTGCTGTGCAAGGGCGGTTTGGTTCGGCCAAGGGAATGTGGGTTATCGACGTTGACGACACGGGCGATGAGGATTGGATCGAGACATACCCGTCCCAGCGCAAGTGGGAATGCGACTTTGTTGATAAACATCAACGTACCCTCGAAGTCCGGAGCGTGGCTTCTGAACTGAAGTCAGCTGGTCTCAACCTGCAGCTGTTACCTGTCCTGGAAGATAGGGCCAGGGACAAGGTAAAGATGCGCCAGGCAATCGGTGACCGTCTTATCAACGATTTGCAACGACAGTTCAGCGAGCAAAAGCATGCTTTGAATCGCCCGGTGGAATTTCGCCAATGGGTCTACGAGAGTTATTCCAGTCGCGCAACTCGAGTCAGCCACGGCCGCGTGCCTTTTCTTGCTGGGCTACCTGACAGTCAAGAAGAGACACTGAACTTCTTGATGAACAGTGGGTTCGATCCCAAGAAGCAAAAGTACTTGCAAGACATCGCCTGGGATCTTCAAAAGCGGAAATGTGACACCTTGAAGTCCAAGTTGAACATCCGTGTCGGTCGATCAGCATACATCTACATGATTGCCGATTTCTGGGGTGTGCTTGAGGAAAATGAAGTTCATGTCGGATTCTCCTCAAAGTTCAGAGACGAGGAGGAGTCTTTCACGCTCCTATCGGACTGTGATGTCCTCGTGGCGCGATCCCCAGCTCATTTCCCTAGTGATATCCAACGGGTTCGAGCAGTCTTCAAGCCAGAGCTTCACAGTCTCAAGGATGTGATCATCTTCTCTACTAAAGGAGATGTACCGCTTGCTAAGAAGCTATCTGGTGGAGACTACGACGGTGATATGGCCTGGGTCTGCTGGGATCCGGCGATCGTTGATGGTTTCGTCAATGCGGAAATGCCTCTGGAGCCCGACCTGTCTAGGTACCTAAAGAAGGACAAAACGACCTTCAAACAGCTTATGGCCTCACACGGCACGGGCTCAGCGGCCAAAGAGCAGACTACATACGATATGATCCAGAAGAGCTTCCATTTCGCCCTGCAGCCCAACTTCTTGGGCATGTGCACTAACTACAAAGAAAGGCTCTGTTACATCAACAACAGTGTGTCTAACAAGCCGGCCATCATTCTTAGTTCACTGGTGGGAAACCTCGTCGATCAGAGCAAGCAAGGTATTGTCTTTAACGAAGCAAGCTGGGCTCAATTGCGTAGGGAACTGCTTGGCGGTGCATTGTCTCTTCCTGACCCAATGTACAAGAGCGACAGTTGGCTCGGGCGCGGAGAGCCTACCCACATTATTGACTACCTGAAATTCTCCATCGCCAGGCCTGCGATTGACAAGGAACTGGAAGCCTTCCACAATGCCATGAAAGCGGCCAAGGATACAGAAGATGGTGCTCACTTTTGGGATCCGGATCTCGCTTCCTACTACACGTTCTTCAAGGAAATTAGCGACAAGTCGCGATCGTCCGCACAGCTATTCACGACTCTGAAGAACCGTATCGGCGAAGTCGAGAAAGAATATGGCAGGTTGGTCAAAAACAAGGAGATGAGAGACAGCAAGGACCCCTACCCTGTTCGCGTCAACCAGGTTTATGAAAAATGGTGCGCCATCACGCCCGAGGCCATGGACAAATCCGGAGCCAACTATGATTCTAAGGTGATCAGGTTGCTGGAGCTTTCCTTCCTCGCGGACCGCGAAATGAATACATGGGCATTGCTGAGGGCTAGCACGGCTTTCAAGCTGTACTACCACAAGAGCCCCAAGTTCGTCTGGCAGATGGCGGGCAGACAGCTCGCGTACATTAAGGCGCAGATGACGAGCAGACCCGGTGAAGGCGCCCCGGCGTTGATGACCGCGTTCATGTATGCGGGCTTGATGCCGGATAAGAAGTTTACGAAGCAGTATGTGGCCAGGCTGGAGGGCGATGGATCGGAGTACCCTGATCCGGAGGACTATGAAGTGCTGGGCGATGATGATTTTGATGGAATTGGTTTCACAGGGAATGGCGATTATTAGTCGGGTTGCTTGGAGGGGGCCGTTGCATCCTTATTCTTCCGATTTTCCGAGTCTTTGGTGCTGGGAATGGGAATTTTCTGACCATGTTCCTTCCCTATAGGTGAGTGCTCATTTTATGGATTCCAATTTTGGAGTTTTCTTACGGCTTTGAGATCTGCCTGAGCAAGCGAGGCGTGGGACATTTAGTTGGTCGCTAGAACATAAAACAAAAATGGGAGATGATATTATTCTTCGTGGCGTGATAATACTGAGATATTTGGGTGCTGTGCTTTGTATACATGTCGCGGATGTTCTTTCCTACTTGTTGCCCATGAAGCAGATTTGGTCGAAATTTCAAACAATAGTAAGCAACCTTGAGGAAACTATCGATCTCGATACAGACGCTTAAATAGCGTCCTCGCTCCCTTGGCCTCCGACATCCATCCTAGGTGGAGCATCCGGGATCTCCTAGACTCCTTTCAGACCTGTCCAAGTGAGATATAGTGCGAAGCAGTTGGTGTTACACTTTGGTATTACATCAACAAGACAATTTGAGATAGACTCATTCCCTCCGGTTTTCTTCCGATTGCGACTCTATTTGATGATTTTTTTCATCTACCCCTGACAAGAACAAGTCTGGCAAATCTTTCTTGCTGAATGAATGTAGGCTCTTTGAGATTCCGAGGTTTGGATCTTAAAACCTTTGATCTTTTGTTCTTTTGCCTTTTCGTCGAGTTGGAGAATATGTCAACTCTAACTGATCACATCCGAAGCAACAACAACAACTATCAGGTTTAACCTCGGTACTACTTGCAACAGACCGAGTGACCTCATAACTCGTGAACAAAAAAATCCTATACACGTCCAGAGATACATAACATACCTACACAAGAACCACAATGAAGTTCAAAGAGTTTCTCGCCCGCCGATCCACCCACAGCATGAACCCCGAGTTTATGAGCGACGAGTACAACATGAATCGCCGACGGTCATTTGGTCGAGGAGGAGCAGGGAATATCCGTATGTGTCCTGTTTCTCCTCCTGTTTCTTATTTATTTATTTATTTTTTTTTTTTTTCCCCTTTTTCCTCCTCAATTCTTCCCTCCCCGTGCCCGCTGTTCGATAACTGACACCAAGTCAATAGGTTCCCGAGAAGAAGCTGTAACTCTCCCTCCCATTTCCATTTCCACGTCCATCCACGAATCTCCTCGTGATCATCACCATCATCGTCCAATGGGTTCCGGTAGTGAAGAAAGCGGAAGCAACTCAGACGACACGGAAACAACGGAATCAGCCCGGAGTAATGGTTCCGAAAATGACTCTCACCGTCCAACAAGTCCATATCAGTTTCACTACCGGTATCATTATCGGCATTATCGACCTGGTCATTTTAGTGGCGGCAGTAGCAGTAGTGGCGGCAGCAGTAGTGCATGGAGCTCCATGTCTGTTTCCTCGTCTACGGGTATGCGTGAGTCTGTGGTTTTGTCGGGTGGTAGAGGTAGGTTGTTGAGTGGGATGAGGCAGGTGTTGAGCGGTGGGCATGGACATGGACATAAATATGGGCAGTCACCACGATAGAGGAGAGGAGGAAGAGGAGGGAAGGTTAATGAGTTTATGGGGAAGACAAAAAAAAAAAAAAAAAAACGGGCGTGGATTTGAATTTGTCTGATTATGGGCGGACGAACGGATTCTTGCTGGGTAGTGGTCTTGGTGTAGGCGTTGGGTTGAAAAACTAAAAGGGAAGTACTTGGTTAGGATGTGTTGGGTTGAAATAGAGACAAGAGTAAATATGGCAAAACAGGAATGGAAGGGAATGAAATATCTTGGTAGGTTGGTGGGAAGCAAAAGCTGCGTTTTTGTGGGTGATGGGTGGTTGGAATATAATGGCAGGAAAGGAACAGACGGTCATCAATAAAAGTTTCATGCTTTGATTAAAGTTTTGAGTAGAATGCGGATAGCCAACACTTTATCTTCATAATGCGTAATTTCCCAGTTTCATGATAATGCGTTGAAGACGGTATGCTGGAAAGTTTAAGTGGAAATGATGGGAGCGGCGAGGGGGATGTCCGTCGGCGGCATGACTCATTTTCTCCACAACTATTTGTCCCAATATAAGCGCTTGCTTTGGCGCAATGTTACAACAACAGCTTCAAGGGCGGCTCTGTGGTGTAGTGGTAGCATACTTGCTTTGGGTGCAAGTGGTCCCAGGTTCGAACCCTGGCTGAGCCCTTCTAGCAATTCTTTTTCTCTTTTTTTTGCTTTTGTTCTGCTTGTTATGGTTTGAGAGTGGATGCCGCTTGCTTTTTTCGCTGCGGCTTGTGCGCGGGCCTACCGGTGATCTGCCCGATGTCGGGACCCGCGGTGGGGAGTCTTGCATTGCAGCGGGCAACCATCAACACAACATCGTCAAGACAAAACACCTTCTTCAACAAAACTCAACTTTTTGTGAGTGTCGGAGAGACGATGGTTTTGTCCAGTCAATATACACCTGTTTTGCAGCATTGGAAAGCTGTTGGTTCAACATGTTCCGCGACTGCGCCTCACCTCCAACTCCAGCTCCAGCGTCCGCACGTTGGACTGTTGGTTATGTCGATGCCATTCGAGTGTAAACTGACCCTTGATTACGGAACGCGGTATGTTAGGGAGGGGTATTGTGAAGATCAAGATTGAAAATGAATCCCGGAACTCCCCATTCCGATACATCCCATAGACGACGTCTAAACTAAATCCAAAAGAAAATTGCGGAACAGACGACGATCATGCTTCCTAGTCCTCCCTTGAACACGGTACTTTCGTTCACAATGGCATTTGCTTCCTGTTCATCAATGTCTCAGATCACAGCTGGGTACTTGAACCATGGAAAAGGAGAGCAACATTCCGGTGACCTGCCAACGGGATGGAATTCGCATACCTTTGCACCATGCCTCGCTCGTGGGGAGCTCCAAGAGCTATGATGGCGTGGGACTGGAAGCCAACTGAGAGCGAATGGGTATTTCTACCAATGGTTCCCCATGTATATCCTCACTTTGTTTTTCTTTTTCAGCCTGTTGCGCCGAGTCGCTACATCAGAGATACAAAATGCTTTACTCACAAAACATTGCCTCGTTGGGCGCTCTCCTCCTCTTGGCCCAGACTTCAACGACACTCGCTCATCCTGCCAGACACACTCACCACCACAGGCACCACTTTGTCAGGGATATCGCAGCTGAGCACCAAATTGGAGTTCCAGCTGATACAAGTGAAATACTGTGGTCGGATTACACCGCGCAGACGTCGTCGAGAAAGAGGGGAAGCCTGGAAGATGATAACAAGGGGCGCAAAGAGGAAGAAGGCAAAACCTTCACCATCCGCCAAGTCAAGAACCCTCGCCTCGAAAGACGAAGTACCGCACAGCGCAATGGTTTGTCAGCTTTGCTTCACGCCTATGCCAAGTATGGTGTTGAGCCGTCGCCCAGGATCAAGAGGGCCATGAAGCTGAACCCGGCTTTTCGTGAATATCGGGAAGAGCTTGAGAAGAGTATGACTACACTGTCCCATATAATATAGAAGCAAGAGCTGATAAGATTGTCAACAGGAGGCGATATCACGGCCACAGTCGCAGCCATTCCCCCTCCCGGCAACTACGAGTACGTCTCGCCTGTCGAGATCGGCACACCTCCACAGACGGTATGGATGAACATCGACACCGGTTCTGCCGACTTGCAAGTCCTCCTTTCTTTTCTCTAGTCACCACAAACAAAACGTCTCGCTAACAGAGAACAAAACAGCTGGGTGGTCTCCACCGACACCCCTCGCTACCAAACCCGCGGCCACGCCATCTACGACCCGCACACCTCCAATACCTCGGTCCTGGTCCTGGTCCCCGACCTCAACTGGCGCATCACCTACGCCGACGGCTCCGGCGCCCACGGCATCGTCTACCAAGATCGTGTCTCCATGGACGACACGCTGTCCTTCCCCTCGCAAGTCGTGCAGTCCGCCACTTCCATCTCATGGGACTTCACCACGGACCCATACGTCAGCGGGATCATGGGTTTGGGTATGTCGTCTGGTAACACGGTTAGCGACAGTATCAAGGATGTGGAGGCCAGAACGGGGGTGAAGATCTTGACGTTTATGGATAACGTGCGAGAGCAGTTGAAGGAGCCGGTATTTACGGCGAATCTGAGGGATAATGCCGAGGGAAGCTATGGGTTTGGGTTCATCAATGAGACGGAGTATATGGGCGAGGTGAGGTATGTGGATGTCAAAGAGGATGGCATCTTTTGGGAGTTTGAGGTGGGGGGATATTTGATTGGGAGCGAGGAGGAGAAGGCAGATGAGGAGCCAGAGATGACGGAACCTGCTCAACCCGCGAGAAATCCCGACACTGAGCAGGCGTCAATGACCATCCAGCCAGACCAACCTACGGTCTCAAACCCCATCACACCTTCTTCGACCCAAACCGCCCAGCCAGACACCTCATCCTCCCCCCTTCTCCTCGAAACCACAAACTCAACCATCACCGCCGCCGCCCACACAACCAGCACCAACCAACGAATCTCCTACCCCTTCACCACCATAGCCGACACGGGCACCACCCTCCTTCTCCTTCCCGACCGGGTCGTCTCCGATTACTACTCCACCATCCCGCGCGCTTTTTATTCTTCTGAATGGGCAGGCTACCTCTTTCCCTGCGCTTACACCTCTTCTCTACCCGATTGGTCCTTTTTCCTCGGCTCGGCTGCATCAGAGACTAATACCACCACCACCAACACTACCACGACGTCTGATTCTAAAGCCGAGCCCAAACCTGATATCGGTCCAGAAGTCGAAGAAGGGCAGGAAGAAGGGTCCTTTTACTACAAAGGCACAGTCCCCGGGCGGTACATGAACTACGGCGAAGTGAACGCAACCTGGTGTTACGGCGGGATGCAGAGCAGTGAGGATATTGGGTTTAGTATCTTTGGGGATGTACTGCTTAAGGCGCAATTGGTGGTGTTTGATTTGGGAGGGATGAGGGTGGGGTTCGCGGGGAAGGAGTTGGCAGAGGGGGTTGGAAAGGGGGAGGTGAGTTTGTGAATGGGTGATGGATGGGTAGATAGATGTCATGAGGTGGTGAGGTGATGATGATGGGCGACGGGTGGAAGACGGAGTGAGTACACTACTGATAGACTTGGAAAGAGATAGGGAAGGAAAAATCATAAACGCAAAAGGCGGATACCCATCCATTGTATGTCTGACGACCTTTGGATCAGGAACATCCAGCGGCCATACGCCTGTTCATTCCTTTGTACCGACCCTTGTCCGAGACAAAATAGATGAGACCAATGAACAGATTAGGTAAACCAGTCCGCTACCGCTCGCCAAGATTACAAGAAAAAAAAAAAAAAAAAAAAAAAAAAAAAAAAAAAAAAACGCCGTTGCAAGACTGTGATAGGGATTATAACAATTCGAACAGACATCGACTAGAGCCCCATTTGAATATTTCTACCCAGGAATTGCCTAGAACACAAGATCAGAGGTGCGAAAAAGACACTAGATGCGTGATAGGAGTATACCCAAGGTATATTGTCAAAGGTCTAACTATTTTGTCTAAGACGAGCGACCTCCGCCATCGTCTTCGCTCTGGTGAGCCAGCTATCCATTCGCATCCTCGTCGCCATCCTCTACCCGTCTTTCCAACGAGTACAGATCTCCCACGGCCTTTCCAGCGTATAAATCATTGATGCCAGTCAAGTAGCCATCATCTCTTCGCATTCTACCGTTCAAGGGCGGCATCAACGGGACCGTGTCTTCAGATGCTCATCAATTCACCCCAGCAGGTCTGCACCGATTCACAAATACAATATAAACATCAACGCTGATAATAATCAACAAAGGAAATGCCAAATCGAACAACGTCACTGGCGTCGGCTCGATAGGCACTTTACAGAAGACATTAGCAGCTGATCAGAGTTCGCTGAAGAACGCAACTTACCTGGCGCTGGAGGGCAGCCTCAAACATCTGTAAAGCCGAGTGAACTCATGCAGCACCAGTCGCACCGCCACTATCGTAAGGCGGAGGTGATTGTTGGGGTTCCGATCTCGTCTTTGGCTCTGTTATCGGAAGACCTTGCTGATTTGTAGCATGAGTTATCTTCCGCCAAATAGTACAGATCAGTATCTCTAAAGGCCATACTACGACAACACAAAGTGAGGCCACAGAGATCGTAGTAATGCGGGTGCGTCGGGTGATCGGTAGCATTTCGTAAAAAGTGTCGATGGCGCTATTGCACCAAGTCTATACGTTCGTCGCCCAGTGCCAAAACCATAAGAAGCCTACTACACACCAAGCAACACTGGCTAACAGCCAAATATACCATTAGACACTAGGGTTACCATCGCATGGCACCGTAATTGGCAGGGGCAAGATTGTGTCGTTCATTCTGCGACATTCACTATTATATTAGAAAGGAGCTGGAGAAATAGGAAAGTAGAGAGTTGAATAGTAAGCGAGAAACATACTTGGAGGGAAATTTCTCGCGAAAGGTGCTCGGGCTGCCAAGCCTCTTGTTGTGAAGGCTGCGCGTAGCTAGTCTCGCAAGTACTACGAAAAGCTCGACAAGTAGCTCGCTAAACAGTTGATTTCGACGGGAAATACCGAGTTCAAGCAAGAAGGAAATAACCGATGAGTAGGCCGCTGCCCTGTTGACCACCCGTGCTGTGATGGCCGAGTGTGCGCGGAAGATAAGTCTGATGAGCGAAAAATGTGTACAATATAACTACCAAAATTTAGTTGAGTATTAGGAGAAGAAATTTGAGAGGGGGGATACAGTAGTTCAAGTAGCTGTTGGCAGGGCCCGGGTTGGGTTTCCTGTCCATTTGCTTTCATCCTTGTAACCAGTCATCCTTTCTGTACGAGCGAAGCTCACTTTTGCAGTTGCGTATGCAGGTTCGGAGGTCCGAGGTTACGGTTGCCGAATTTAATACATACTATTTGCCAGGCGGGGTGAATAACGTGCTTTAGAGTTCCCTATCGGGGAGTAGCGATGGCCGTTCGTAGGTAATTGGGGTTGGCGGTTGGTTCTTGCCTTGTTAGGTGGAAGCACGGCGGAGTGTGTACACTGCTGATAGACTTGGAAAGAGAAGGAGGCTTGGAGCTCTTTTCAGTCTTTCAAAAAGAGGAACTGTCCTCCGTTCAATGCGATATGGGACAATGATAAAGGTTTATGACGCTATGAAAGCCTCTGATGGATGGTTTCTCATGTCTCTCTCCGTCTCCTTCAAGGCCTCCAAGACTGGAAGATGTGAGTCTCACAGCATTACCCGATAGAAAGCCTAACTGAACGCTTTTCTACATCCAACAAAGCTTTAGATATTTTGTCTAGACCAACAGACAAATTAGAACTGGACTTTATTTCCGTCTTAAAACCTATGCATGCCTCAGAGTCACAATCATTGGTGATAGCGTCGGGGCGTTAGTAGTGTGGAGATCACGGTCACTGTACATATAACTTCTTTTGTCCATAAAAGGATGAACGGTCCGGTCCTTCGTGGTCGTTAATGAATTGTAGCGGCCTGGCCATCACGATGTACTGCATATTTCCAGGTACGCAACAGCGGAGAAGAAGAGGTGGCTGAGGGGTACAGATACGTACGGTGCAACTTTGGGTAGGAGAACAGAGGCACTTTCGACAAAGTCTTTAAAAGTCTGGAGCAACGGGATCCAATGACCGGGTTTCTGGATTCAGTCGTCCTGCAGGAGGGTGTAAAGAGGCACTGTTGGCACACTCTGGAGAAGCGAGGCCCAATGACCGGTTTTCTGGATTCAATAATCTGCAGGAGGGAAGGCGGTTGGCGCCGTATGGTGATGCGGAAGGTTGGATGGCTTGAGGATGGGTGTAGGGGTGCTAGGGCGACGTTGACTGGCTCCAGAGACTCTGAAGACTTGCATCAAGCCAAGCTTGAGGAATTCCAAATACTTTTGTGATAGTGGCTTGCTCATATGTGGGACGGGCTGGACCCTTCCATGGGAGAGGGAAATGGAAAGAAAGGAAATATTGATTGAGATTGGAAAGCATGGCGGCGGCACCTTGTTGCGATTGGGTACATTCGAGAGGTACCTGTCTGCCAGGGGAAGTACGTGAGTGGTGAGGCTATTCTGCCTTGGCCGAGAACCTGGTGCTTTTTGCATGAGAAAGGTTACATGTACACACCTTGCGGGAACATAGTGAACGCGGGAGATATTTTAACCGGCAGTGGTGTTCAAACGGCATGGCTTGGGTGATGCGAGTGATGAGTGGTAAAACGCCTTGCGCCTTCTTGCGGCATTGTATAGTCTACGTCTAGAGTGCAGGTGTTTGCCTAGTCTGGAACCCAAAACGGAAATGGTTTGCGTTCTCGACCGAGTTGGCAGTTCTTGCTTGTAACCCCGGGATGCACGAGGGAGTATCCGGTGTCAGTTGCTGCTCGACAGGTATGTGACGACTGTCTAATGCAGATGTCGTAGGTACGTTCCTGCTGAGAGTTTGAGTCGCGAATAGGAAGGATCAATTGAACAAAACGAAGAACTTCTTTCCTGAGGAACAAAGATCGAAACAAATCTCAATTCTTCTAGTCTCAAAAGGAAAAAAAAAAGGAAAAAAAAAAAACATCGTCAGAGGCCAAACCCTTACCCATCTGTAGGGCTGGCGGGACACCAGGATATCCTGGGATGGTTTGAACATCATCTTGATCTTCGATGAGATCAAGGCGACGGCGGGGACGGGATGGTGACGAATGGCGGGGGTCAAGGGTCATTCCATAACATCACAACGGCGGGCTTGGAAGGGCCGCGGACCACTTTCGAGTGTCGATCACTTGGACGGCCAGGAAAGCCCAAAAGAGGCACCCATCGACGCCTCGTCCGCTTGGCGAGCGTTGTGGGGTTGGGCTTCAACCGGCGAGCTTGCCAGTTTGACGAATGACGGTGTTTATCTGGGAATTCATCACTCGGGGCAAGGGGTTCAGGAACATCTGTCACAACCAGGAAAGTTGGACCAATTTCTCAACACTTGGCGTCTCAACGGGCGTGGATACGGGGGCTTGGTGATGGAAATTGCACGATCCGGCCCAGTCCTCGAGCACATCAAGTGAAATGTCAAGTTCTTTGACCACTGCCCTGTTGAACTACGAGGAGGGGAGCATGAGCTTCACATTCCCCACGTTACATTTGCGCTACCGAGAGCATGGAACCCAGTGTAAACACGGAGAGCACCGGTTGCTCTGATTGAGGGATCATGTTTCTAAATGCCCGAGGAAATCGGTTTTGCCATCGTCGGAGATAAAAAGTTTCGCTGAAGAAGAGACTTTGGCTGCTTCAGTCAGTGTCCCTTTTGTCTGACAAACAGTAGAGCGTAAAGTCCGCAGTCAACATTCGTGCTAACAAGCGAACAGGGTTGAATGGTAGGTCATGTGTGACCCGGATCCCTCAGACGCCAGACCAATAGGATGTTGCAACAAGCGCCGGTTATAACATACGGCCACACACCACGAGCACCCATGAAGGTCTGGACCTGATGAGGTGGTATACAGGTACGGACCTAGAGCGAAGAGGGAGTTTCTAGGGGCTTTGCAAGTGAAATCTCGATTCAAGCCGCGCCCACCCCACACTAACGGGCGATATGATATCAAAAGCATCGCGATTGACAAGTCATATAGCGGGAGATATCATGAAAGCTCAAGTGGCAGGCATGGAGAGGCACAGGCAGAACGTTGAAGAACAAGGGTTCACAGTACTCAGCCACACGATAATCAAGCGCCTCTTCCGGCACCGTCTTCGTTTTAGGACTTCTTTGCATCTCCGGAAGTTCGGACATGTCCCGAGAGATCCACCTATTGTTCTTCTGAATCTGGCTTTCTTTCCTAACTTTCTGCCCTCCTTTCTGCCCCCCTTCGGGCCTCCTTCTACCCCCTTTCGGGATTGGTTCGATGTGAACTGGATATGACCTCCTTCGGAACACGAAGATCATTGAGAATGCCACACACTAGTCACACGCACGGTCCCTTACCCAACACCGTAAGTACGGAGCCTTGCAGTTGAGAGTACCTCTAGCGAGAACGCCGCCGCCAGGCATACACACAAGAAACACTATATGCAGTATCAGTATACTGAAGATCTGGATCTAGGGGTTAGGACTCTCGACGATGAGGCCTACATATTTTCTTGGCAACTGATAGGGACTTTTGGACATCGAGGGTGCTTGCCTGGAACTCAGCCATGAACCCATGACGCTGTTGTTGAATTCTTGCATGATGGTCAAAAGCCTTTTCAAGGTTCTTTTCGTCGTCTGAGGGCCTCCATTGCCCGGTCGAAAACATATATAAATGCTCTCGTCCTACCCATCTCAATGACTTCACTCTTCACCTTTGTTGTCAACAGCAACAGCAACAGCAACAGCAACAGCAACAGCAACAGCAACAGCAACAGCAACAGCAACAACAATATCACACTTCCCGTTACCAACGACGCAACAACCAGACAGTTACCAGTCCACAACGACAACATCAACACCAAATCTCCAACACAGCCAGCAATATGTGCCTCTCCGAGACCGACAGTCACAAACAGAAGAGAATGACTAGTGAAAGGTAATACCAAGCTCTCCTCAAGTCCTACTTCCACGCTTCATGTCTTGCTCGTCTCAAAGAGTGTTACCTCAGAACTTCCTTCACCTCTACACTTTGTGCCCAAGACTCGCTTGTGACCTTGTCCTTGTCATTACCCTTGTCTTGGCCACCTATCAGTCTGACACCCGTTCGATCGATTTGGCCCCCAATGTTAGGCTGACAGGCGCAACCCCCCTTACCCATCACATCACTGTACAGCCACCCATTGTCTTGTCTCATCTCATCAGCTCCACTTGGCAACTTTCTTTCATTTTGACGTTACTTCAACTTCAACGTCACTTCATCTTTCACTGCAACCTCGACTTGACCTCACTTCAACTTTTCTCAACCAAGTCATCACCTCACCAGTCCTCTCTCCAAGCCCTTCCTCTTCAACCTCAACATAATCCCGTCTCGGGTCTCAACAACACCAATAAAAACTGACATTAGAGGTAACTAACCACCTCACCTTGCAAACAGCCCCCGCTACATCCCCATTACCACCACTACCACCTCCTCCTCCTACAGATCCGACCGTTCCACCACTCACTTCGACGGTCCCAACACCGGAAGCAACACCATCCGTAGCGCCCATGAACTCGTCCATGACACTCACCGTCTCGATAATCCCCAGGACCTCTACCGCCAGCACCGCAATGAGCACCTCGACTCTACCACGGTCGGCGGCAGCCCAGGCCGCTCTTTGAGTGGTACCTCTAGTCATTCTGCTCGTCGACCAGAAACAAGTACCAGAGCCAGACGCATTCTGCAGGAGCACGCTGCTGCTGGCCATGGCCATGGCCTTGGTCTAACCGCCGGCATTCGTGCTCGGGATGGAAGTGGTGGTGGTGGTGATGATGATAATGGCATGGCTCTTTCTTTTGATGATGGGGATGATGATAACTACACCCACGTTCCCTTTCCCACTCACGGTGGTGGTGGTGGTTTCGGTCTCGGTGCTAGTCGCGGTGCGCCCGAGTCGTCCGCTATTAACCTCCCCATTCGTAATCACGGCGACCGCGGCGGCCATCACTCCCACTACGACCTCGGCACCAGCACCGCCCGCAACCACCACCGCAACCACCGCCACAGCGATCGACACTCCCTCCACACCCCCAGACCACCGCCGCCCAGAGAACCCAAAGAGCGCACAACCACTTACTTCGTCCAAGATAACATCCTTATGCGCATTTCTTCTATTTCCCACGCCCACTCCCACTCTTCTGTATCCCATGCCCACTCTTCCCACTCTTCCCATGCCCACTCCCACTCCCAGTCGGGTACTCACCACCACTCCTACCCGACCACCATTGACAACATGAACGATCCCAGCGGCGACAGCAGTAACTCCAACCCCAACTTCACCAGCCACAACACCTCCGACACCATGTCCAACGAACACAGAGGCGGCGGAAGCAGTGCCGACCACAAAAGAAGGAAATGGTACCGTGATCGAATGGCAAGGATCATCCAGGATATCGAGCCGGGGTTGCCTCCTCCTCCTTCTTCTTTTTCTGCTTCAACTTTTTCTTCTTTTGGTCGTTTGGGTAGTGGCGGTCGTGGTGCTGGTGCTGGTGCTGGTGCTGGTGGGTACAACTATATGTATCCTGGTATGGGTAGTAGTACGATGGGAAGTGGCGGTGCTGGTGCTGGTGCTGGTACTGGTGGGTATGGCGCCACCAATGCTCGCGATAGTGGCTATGAAAGTTTCTCTGGGAGTCCGGGGGGTTCTTTTGGGCGTGGGCGTGGGTACTAGGTTTAGGTTTAGGTCTACCATAGGTCATGGTCTAGACTTAACATGCAATCAATCGGCCTTACCTCCTAGAATACCTAGGTGAGATACATTTGTGATCTGACGAATGGGTCAACAATAAACTCAGACCATTGACGAAATCAATACCGCTAGGGTGTGAAAAAGTACCTACAATGGATAATAGAAGAAGGTTAGAAGGATCGAACGGTTAAAATGGATCAATAAACAAAGAGGACGGACGCATACCGAATAAATACCTGTTCATTATCGCATGCCTTCTAGTGATATATCTGTTCGACAAAGAGCCCGTTACCAGTACCGAAGACCAAAGTTCATGCCCAACGTGATTGCATCCCCTCAACCCACCTGAACCACACCCATGTCCTCTTACTTTGTCTCCTCCTCCATGTATATATCCAAAACTACCATCCGTCAAAAAGAAGAAATACCTCAACGCGTCACCTCACCCCTCGCTTCCACACCCCAGCAAACCACTTCTTCCTCCCACTCCCACTCCCATTTTCTCCCCCATTTTCTCCCCCATCCTCCTTTTCCACAATCTCACCCTTGACATGTTCATCCCCCGCAAACCTCGCCCACCTCAACGTCAAACTCCCCCCCAACACCGGCAAGATACTCACCAACTCTCCCAACCCCGCATACTGCGGCGGTATCCTTACCCCCCCTGTTCCTCCTCCTTTTCCCACAACCTCAAACAATCCTCCCGCCAACAGTATCGCAAACACATTATACACAAAACTCCACCCAAAATTGAACTGGATTCTGTGCATTGCTTTTTCGCTCATGTCCAGTAGCGTCAAGATGCCAGTGAGGTTAGAGCGAATAAGCACCACGTCTGCGGCTGCTTCGGCCACGGCTACGTTATCGTTGGATCCGGATCCGGAGGTAGAAGCCATGTGCACGCCGACAGTGGCGCGGGCGAGGGCAATGGCGTCGTTGGTGCCGTCGCCACAGAAGAGGACAGTAGGAGGTTTGTTGGATTTTGGTGGGCTGAGGAAGGAGAAGAAGGAGTGGGTGCGGGGTGACGCTGGTGGCGGTGGCGGTGGGATGAGGAGGCAATTAATGTAGGCTTCTTTTTCTTCGGGTTTGCACCTGGAGCGAATGCAGTGCTCGGGAATATCGAGTTGGCGAGCAACGGAGCGAACGGCGAGGTCGTCGTCGCCTGAGATGATGTGGATAGAGATGCCGCGTTGGCGGAGTTGGGCGATGACGGATGGTGCTTCGGGACGGAGCGTGTCGTGGAACCCGAAGATGGCTGCTAGGGTACCGTCGATGGTGAAGCAGAAGGCGGTGTAGCCTTGGGATAAGATGCGCTGGACGGTTGGGTCGGATTCGAGGCCTAGCCAGCGCGAGTTTCCTGCGCGGAGTACATGGCCGGATGGTGAGTGGCCTTCGACGCCTCTGCCTGGAAGGGCTTTCTGGTGAGTGATCACTTCAGGGGTTACTCCCATAGAGAGAAGATAGGCAGAGACTGATGCGGCGGCGGGATGTTTGATGTCATGCAGCAACCCAAGCAGTAGGGACTTGGAGGTGTTAGAGTCGCTCTCCATGAAATGCACATCATAGACGTCGAGTTCCCCCTTGGTGAGGGTGCCTGTCTTGTCAAGTACGACGTGGGATGTTGTGCGGGCAATCTCCACGGCATTTAACGACTTGAAGAGAATCCCCCTGTCTCCTGCTAGCCCGCTGACCATGGTGTTGACCATGGGAACTGCAAGTCCGATAGCGCAAGGACAGGAGACAATGAGGACAGTAATGGCATAGGTGAGCGCTTGAACGATGGCCTCGGCAGCACGTAGTTTGTGTACCTTGACACCGACAACGCACCAGATGATCAGGGTGATGCCCGTCAGACAAAGAACAGCGCGGACGAGATACCCGGCCACGCGGTCGGCAATACCCTCGATCTTGGTTTTGGCCACCTTTGCCTTGTGCACCATGGTCATGATGACGCTGATGGTGTTGTTGCCGGGAACAGTCGTAAGCCGCACCCGAAGAGCTCCCGAGCCGTTGACTGTCCCTGCAATCACCTCGGATCCTTCGGTCTTGACAACTGGGCGCGACTCGCCAGTGATCATGGACTCGTCCACTTCCGAATCACCCTCGACGACAATGCCGTCGGTGGGGATCTTGGCACCCGGAACAACCTTGAAGTAATCCCCATACTGAAGCAGGCGTGCGTCAATCTCCTTCTCGTTGCTTCCGTCCTCATCAACAAGAAGGGCGTCATGAGACTGGAGCGACTTGACCTTGGACACGGACGCGACAGCCTTGTGCTGTGCAAAAGCGGCAAGGAAGCGGCCGACCATGATCAGAGTCACAAGCAAAGTGCTCGTCTCGAAGAACTGTCCTGTCGAAAGGGGACGCCCGCATACCAAAAGGGCAAACGACACCACAGAAAAGATGTATGCGGTAGTGGTGCTGAGCACAACCAAGAATTCCATGTTGATGGCCCCCGACTTGATCAGCGGGCTCAAAGCCTCGCGGTAAAAGGGGCCAGCGACGAAAATTTGGACAAGTGTCGCAAGCGCTAGGGATGCATACCCGTACGAAATCATCCGCTTTCCGGATTGTGGAAGGTAAGCCAGGACAAGGACAGGAATGGTCAGGATCCAAGAGAGCATCGTCATAACGAACAAATGACGAACGTTTTTCCAGCCAGCCGTCATGTTTTGGTCGACCGAGCTTTTGGCGAGTATCAGAGGAGGCCCCCCAAACCCAGACTGCACCAAATCTCTGGCGCCAATGACTTTGGGGTCGTAGTAGATCCTGACAATCTTCTTATCGATAATTGAAACCTGGGCCACTCCCATCGGTAATGGTTTTGAGGCAAACCCGGCTGTATTTTCAGTGACAATGTCGAGACTGCATGCTTCCTCGATGACCCGCTCACACTTCCAGGTAGTTGACCTTTGAATTTGTTCTATGACGTCGGCAGCCGACGCGAGGCCCAGATTGACGTCAAAGTCCACCTGCTTGTGTGGCACGCTGACTTTGAGATTCCGGATGGCCTTGATGTTAGCGGCCACTTGATGGAGTTCTTGGCCGCAGCACATCTTTTCGATGATGAGGACGACATGTTCATATCCAGAAAGACCTTTTTCCACATCGGCCGTACCGTCTGACTGCCCGCTCCCTGGCTGAACTGGTGTTATGCTGGACCGCGCGGTTCCTGATTCGCTATCGGTGGTGGGAAAACTGGCAGATATTTGTTCAATGTGTTGACATTCTGATGGTTGATGTTTGTTGGAAAGGGAACTTTTCCTGAATATGTTTTGGGATAAGGCGCCGAACGTCCTGGTGAGATTGGGGAACCGGCTGTGGTTGTGGTCATGGCTGTGATTGTGGCCGTGTGATACTGAACACGGGTCTCTGGAGGATTCCGAGTGTGATGGATGAGAATAATCGGCACTCTTGCTGCTGGAATGCCTCTCGCTTTGCTGTCCACCACAGCACCTGTCCTGGCAGCTGTCCGTTGTAGTCTCGACTGTGTTGGCTTCCCCTTGATGCGACTCTCTATCCCCAGTCCTGTCGCCAATCTCCCTTTTGTCGTCAAAATACTCCCCATAACCAACATTTGCGGACGAAGATGCCGTGGCTTCTAAGCTGTTATTCGTGTTTGACCCTCGGTCTCCACGACCATGTGGAGATGTCGGCACCTCCTCGGGCGTGGTTGAAAGAGGGCGCTTGGAGGGCGCGCAACAACCCGAACCGCAACCCATTGTAATCGCTGATGTTGTCTATCGCGTAGTTTGCTGTATGGTATGTTGTAAGGTAGATGTCGAACTCGCCATGAAGATGGAAGTAGAGGAAGTGCCCAGGGGGGCCCTGCTTTTCCGATTATAAGCCAGTTCGGTGCGATTTGGTGAATGCTGTCAAGGCCATTAGTGTAGATGAGCAACAAGGGTCCAAGGCATCCTGGTTGACGCCGGTTTCAAGTAAGTTGTTGACAAACACGGAAGGTGGTAGCATAAAGTATATGTGAATGCGCATGGACCGGCACGGGGAGGATGGGTCAAAGCGACACCTCAGCTCAAGGGCCAACAAGTCCCGGGAGTACAGAGTGCGTGCGAACACGAGGTTGTAGAGTGTGACGGGGTGACAAGCTATGACTTTGTGCCGCGGTGCCAGATGGATGGACTCTGGGTAGTCGAGGTGTCACTGAGGAGGTAACAGCGATAAGTATATCAAGACGAGTGGGGGGAAGGAGGAATGGAGGAGGGGTGGGATGTCAGTTACTACATTTCGGCGGTAGACTTTTCTCTTCTTGCCGTGTGTACATGTAGTAAAAGTTGGCATCTCTGATACGCGAATAAGTGGAAGGGTGGAAGTCGATACACACAAGAAAAAGAAAGCTGAGGCCTGTGACCAGTCGGCAACGATGATCATCAAAGACAACGAGTGAAAAGATAGGCATCGGGATTGACAACCCGTTCAACCCCGGGCGCGGCAGTGTAACACGGACATGCTGCCGCGGGGTATCAATGACTGGTGGTGATATTCCATGATGCCGGTGATGATTGCTCTTTCGACTCGAGTAAGGCGAGCATGGGAAGATAAGTGATATGTTAGGTAGCCATGCTTCACTGCAGCAGAGAGTCGGACTGTTTAATGGTTGCCCTGTGGAGCATGGATGAGTGTTGAACGATGTCCGGTCGAGATGATCAGTCAGGTCGTGTCTATCCATGGAAAGATCTTGGAGGGGTCCAAAGATGGTGGAGGGGTATATTTGAATGTTATAACGTTGATTCGCATGAATCAGCAAAAGCATTCTTTTTCCCTTTTTTCAAGAATACTCACTAACAAACACAGTGATAAAGTGGATATCTAAATACTTGGAGTAGTGGATCGCTGTCTCGTGGTTGGTGGAGGTCCGGGCTGTAGCTTGGAGAAATGCGTGGTGAAAGTGGGTACATTTCTACACAGTACACGTGTGCATTGTTAGTTCAATGCAAGATGGCGTCCTCCTTCTACTACTGCATAAATGCATAACAGGGATACCGGCAGTTGGCGGTGTGCTTGACCCAGCTGAGGTGCTCCAAGTCAGTCACCACGCGAGTGTACATAGTAGTGTACAAACGGTTTGCTTTGGAGAAGAAGGAGGGAATGTTTTCTCCGGAGAACAACGTGTTCTTTCTGTTACACTACCAATACGTTACCCGACCTGGTGAAAGAGGGTACTTCCATCTTCACACTTGGTCTCTCCCATAGTCAAAACACATTTCCGCATCATTTCCTATTGAAGCAGACGACGTAGCAAATCCCAATCTCCCTCGAACCCCTGAGAGTATTTACAGTATTGACCTCTGTTTTACAAAACCTCAAATTCACCTATGTAAATAACTATGTACGTAAAAGTCCCTTCGATGCCAAGACTCTGGACCGTCCCTCATAGGGCCTGTTGCATTAACAGAGGAATTACAATAGCGAGGGTGTCAAAGACACAGGGAGCACAACCGAAACATCGGCAAGAATCGGTTACAGTGGCGTTCTGTTCAAGTACTCGTCATTGACCAGACACTCATGTTTCACTCTTGTCCCTACCATACCTAAAGCCTACCTACACTACCTCACGGGATACACCATAACCATCTCGGAGTTGCGGATTAATCATCCATCAGAGACACAATGTGTGCGAGTGCTTCGCGTACAGATGAGCCCCGAAAAAGCCAGGGCTTCAACCAGAGCCCCAACCCACTCTCAGCCGATCTGACGACGAACCAAGACTTGGACGGAATCGTCAATCAGAGAGAAAACCGAAGCGGGAGTGGTGGGACGGGAATCTCGGCCCAGTTACGCCAAGATGGTGTCGGCGATGATGGTGGCGGGTTGCCTCGGCCAGAGCGAGATCGACCACCTGGCGGTGATATGATCAAGACACCCTCATCAACCGTGTCGTCACCAACCAACCCTCAGCCAAGCCAGCCTCCCTCTACCAATCAAGTGGAAGCTCCTTCTCCTGGCAGTGTCAAGCAAGCAAAAAGCCGTCTCGGACGAATTAAGCATGCCCTCATTACCTTTGGCCAGTTTGTGGGTCCCGGGGTCATGATCTCGGTGGCATACAGTGAGTGTCCCTTTCACCTACCACGAGCCTCACTTACGGAATACTTACTATGTGCAGTCGACCCCGGTAATTATGCCACCGATATTGCTGCTGGCGCATCTTATCGCTTCAAGTTACTTTTCATCGTCCTCCTGAGTAACCTATTCGCCATTCTTCTGCAAAGTCTGGCCATCAAGCTCGGCACCGTCACCGGTTTGGACCTTTCCTCAGCCTGCAGAGCCTTTCTTCCACGATGGCTGAACTACTTTATCTACGCACTGGCTGAGATTGCCATTATCGCAACAGATATTGCCGAGGTAGGTCTTTCGTCCGCAAGTAAGGAGAGTACAACACTGACAATGGACAGGTAATCGGCACCGCTATTGCCTTCAATCTCTTGTCTCCCAAGATACCTCTTGTCGCAGGATGTGCTCTCTCCATTATCGATGTCATGCTCATCCTCGTCTTCTACAACCCGAATGGCCAAATGAAAGGCCTGCGCATCTTTGAGTTCTTTGTCTGCATTCTAGTCATGGGCGTAGTGGCCTGTTTCTGCATCCAGCTCTCCATGATCTCCAACACCAGCGTCGGCCAAGTCTTCAAGGGTTACCTACCTTCCAGCGCCGTGATCGAACAACAGGGGTATGTTACCTTTTTTCTTCCCTTGAACACAACACTGATAGACCACTAGCCTCTACCAAGCCTGCGGCATCCTCGGCGCAACCGTCATGCCGCACAGCCTCTTCCTCGGCTCCGGCATCGTCCAACCCCGTCTCCGCGCCTACGACGAACAACGTGGTCTCCTCCCTGCCGAACCCGTTTCCGCCAACTCATCCGACACCAACAGCGACTACGTCGACAAAGTCCACTACGTCCCCTCCCAGTCCGCCATCAAGCACTCGCTCAAGTACTCCATCGCCGAACTCGCCCTCTCCCTATTTACTTTCGCTCTCTTCGTCAACTCGGCCATCCTCATCGTCGCCGGCGCTTCTCTGTACCAAAACCCCACCGCCCTCGACGCCGACATCTTCGCCATCCACTCGTTGCTTTCGTCCTCCATCTCGCCCGCCGCAGGAACCATCTTCGCCCTTGCCTTGCTCCTGTCGGGCGTCTCGGCAGGTATCGTCTGCACCATTGCCGGGCAAATGGTCAGCGAGGGCGCGTTGCGGTGGAAGATGCGGCCCTGGCTGCGCAGACTTATTACGCGGTCCATCAGCATCACGCCTTCTATTCTTATTGCTGCCGTGGTGGGGAAAGACGGGTTGAATGCCGCGTTGCAGGGGAGTCAGGTGGCGTTGAGCGTGGTGTTGCCGTTTGTGACGGCGCCGCTGATTTGGTTCACGAGCAGGGATCGGTACATGATGGTGATGCCGGGCGGGGCGAGGTATCAGGTGGAGGAGGAGGCAGTGGGGGATGAGAGGCGGCTGTTTTCGGCGAAGAGGGGATGGTTGGGGAGGAAGATGGGGAATAATAATAATAATGGTGGGGGGGAGCAGGAGGGAGGAGTCAAAATGGCGAATTCGTGGTTGACTACGATTGTGGCGGGGCTGGTTTGGGGGCTGATTGCTGTCATGAATGTAGCGAATTTGGTGTTGTTGGGGAAGGGCAATAGCTAGGCGGTACTTGAGAGCTGGAAGATGGGGTCAACAAGGCACAGCGGGTTTTGTAGTAGATAAACATCATGATAGAAGTTGGCTAAGTATAACATCGATTGATGGGTGACATCAAATGCCAAGACCCATACGGTACAAACTATGACAAATGACAGCGCGCGTTCACTGCCCTACAGTGACCTAACTCCCACCCTCACTGTATCCACATGACGAATCATAACAAACTCAACCTCTCAACCTCAACCTCAATTGGACATAACTCGTCAACCTTCTTATCAAGCATTCGCCAACCCATTCCCACATATCAACAATACGAGAACATTGAAGATTATTCCACATCACTACCTACCTAGTCAAACTATCTATCCCTCGCAAGCAAACAATAAATAGACAGCCAGCCCGGCTGCTCGCTTTACCCACAAATCAACATCACCTACCTACTCACTAGGTCTCCCCGCCAACTTACCTCGAACTTTCACAACTTGAAGTCACAACCACACCATACTACAAAAATGGACCGTGACCAAAACACGACCGAGGATCTTTTCGGTATGGAAGACTTGCTTCCCTTTTTTTCTATTTTTCTTTTTCTTCCTTTTCCTTCTTTTACTGTTCAATCCACTTCCCTTCCTCCCCTCCCTTCCCCATTTCCTTCTCTCTCCCCTCCCTTCCCCATTTCCCTTTCGCTTCCTTCCCCCCTCCCCCCAAGTTTTCCCCCTCCCGTCCCCCCCCCCCTCTTTTATTCATTTTTTCTCCCCTCATCTTCTTCCCTCACTAACATGGAACAGACCTCGAAAACCGCCTCACCGCCTCCCTCCTCCGCACCTTCCAATCCCTCCTCCACCACGGCGCCTCCAGCGTTAACAACACCGCGTCCGTCGGCCAAGCCGCCTACAACGCCATGGCGACCGACATCCTCATGAACGGCATGGTGCAATCGGTCGAGGAGCTTTTATCGCTTACCCGCAAGATGCGAGAACTATGGGTGGTGGGACCCCTCCGTAAACCGGGAGAGGGGGATGAGGAGGTGGAGAGGGAGATGAGGGGGTGTTGGGAGGGGGTCGTCCAAAATGTGGGGGGGTGGAGGGGACAGAAGAGGGGGATACTGCTGGGGGAGGGGGGAACGGGGGAGTATAAGGAGGGGGAGGTGGGAGCGCCGCCTGGTGTGTTGCAACTACAGCAGCAGCAGCAGTTTGGGCAAGGTGGGCAAGGTGGGGGGTTGCCGCCGTCTGGAAGCGCGACGCCGAATATGGGGGTGAGGAATTTGACGGCAGCTGGGGGAGGAGCAGGAGGACCGGGAGGACCGGGAGGACTGGGAGGACTGGGAGGACTGGGAGGAAGTGGTGGCATGGTGGCTTAGAAGGTTGTTGCTGCGCTGGGATCGGATTTCCTACTACGAGTACGAGTGAGGGTCGAGAAAGAAAAAGAAGATGGCGTCGTTGGTTCAGGTGGGAATGATGATGATGAAAGTGGTAGCGAAACGCTTGTTGATGATGATGAAAGTGATGGTGAAAGTAGTGGTGATGGCGATGGTGATGATGAAAGTGATGGTGAAACTGGTGATGGAAGTGGTGAAGAAGAAGAAGAAGAAGAAGAAGAAGAAGAAGAAGAAGAAGAAGAAGAAGAAGAAGAAAGTGGTGGTGACACTGGTGATGATGGTGATGATGATGACAGTGGTGGTGCAACTCTTGTTGATGACGATGATGATGATACCGAAAGTGATCAATCATATTTCGTGTTCACAGACGGGACCAGGATGGATATCAAGTCTTGAGAGGCATTCAGAAGCTAGGATGAATGAGGCACACCTTACCCAATTCAAGAAACACCGGAGCTGATGCTCACAACCTAGCGAAATTAGGCATACATACATACAAGAATTCAGGTTGGAGCGAAACAGATATGGGACGATTCAGGACATAGGACTGTGTACACAGCATCAAAGGATAGAGGTTACATTCAGGAAGCACCCTTTGGGGCCCAACGCAAAGAGCAAGAAGAGGTCAAAGTATCAAACCACTTTACACTTGACAGCTAGCGTATAGATACTCCATACACTACACTACGCACGCTTCTAATTGCAACGAAATGGTATTTTTTTGGTTATCCGCACTCCCTCGTCACCCTCCCACAGTTTGGACCATCAATTCGATGAACCATCCTCCGCAACACCATCAGCCTCATCTCCAAGCTCAGCCTGCAAAGCCTTGGGTATCTTTTCGGCCGTGCGATCCGACCGCTCATGCGACGCCTCGATTCCGCCCGGGGTGACCCAGAGGAAGTAATCCGTGCGGAAGTTATCGATCTGGTTGAAAAAGAGGTGGAACCTGTCACCGCTTGTCAGTACTTTTCCCACGTTCAAGAGAGTAACTCGGGATACTCACGAATTCTCCTTCTCCTCCAACTCAAACATCCTCTTGTAGATATGCTCATCCTTGAACGCCTGAATCTCCTTATCCCACTTGCCAAAATCAATGGGCTCCTTACCCAACTCCTTGAACTTCTTGTTGCTCACATCAAACACCGGCCTCTCCAGCATCAGACCCAGACCAGGCGCTTTGGGGATAGAAATCCTGCGGGGCCCGTAGCTCTCATTGACAAGACTCATGGGCGCGCCGCACCGTACGATCAAGACGGCCATGGCGACCATCTTGCGAATCTGGTGCATCATGAAACTCTGGCCGTGCACCTTGAGAGAAAGCCACTCGGTGTCATTGATGCGGATGGGCGTCGGGTTGACTTGGAAAGACTTGATATGACGACGGGCCGAGGGATCGGTGTGTGACTTGAGAATGGTGTAGTTGTGGAAGTTGTGTGTGCCGAGGTATTGGTTGAGCGCTTCTTGCAGCTTTTCGAGGCGCGGTGCGGTCACGCGGTAGCGACGCTTGGCGGCGACGTAGGCGGCTTTGACTTCGCGGACAGCGAGCTCGACGGGGGTGAACTCTCTTTCGACCTTGGCGGCGGGGGGTTGGGTCTCGGTGGTGGTGGCCTCGGTGGTGGCCTCGGTGGTGGCCTCGGTGGTAGCAGCCTCGCCGTCCTTTGCGGGCTCGGTGGCCGTGCTCTCTTCCGCCGGGGTATCCTTCATCTCAACATCCTTGGCTACATCGGTATTGGGCTTCGAGGGCTCTCCGTCGTCGGTGAGTTCTTGGTCGGCGGTGTCGTGCAGAATGCGAATGACTTCGGCTCTGATCTCGGGATCCATCTTTTCGAGAATGGGCTGGATGTCGTTCTTCTCGACTTCCTCCCAAAAGTTCTTGACGTCGTCCAGTCTGCCCATGTACTCGTCGTATGTACCCTTCTCCTTGGCCGCATCAATGATCTTCTTGCCGAGGAAGCTTTGTGGCTGTGGCGGCAGAAGAGCGTAGCTGGGCATGAGGTACTCGTACCATCTGGAATCGCATGCTTGGTAGCAGCTGAAACCGTTGGTAACACGCTGGATGCCCCATACTTTGATCTGGTCGGGCAGGTGGCTGTTGATCTTGTCGACAATGTCCTCGTCCTCGACGATCAGCTTGAGCGACAGGACGTTGGCGGCAGCGTGGACACCCTTGTCGGTACGGGCACATCGAACGAGACTGGACTTTTTGGGGTCGTCGGCATTGGCCTTGGAGATGGCGCCGGCCTTGACGAAGGCGGCGAACAGGTCGCCCTCGATGGTCTTTTCCTTGTGGTTGATCTGGATACCGTGGTAACCGGTGCCAGCGTAGCCGATCAGGACGGCAACCTTGCGCTTGGGTCGGCGTTCCTCGGCGGCGATTTCGTCGGTCGAGAAGGGGATGCTCATGTAGCTGTTGCCGTCGGCGGCTCCGTCAATCACCTTGCGGCGCTTGGCAGCACGGTTGTCTTGAACCTGGTCGCGCTTGCTCAGGAAGTCTCTTCTACAGCCTAGTCAGCGTCGGCATTAGGCGCCTGTGGCAACGAATTTGAGCACATGTCAGGTGGTTGTTCATACTTGTTGCTCCCAAAGCCGCCCGTCTTGATGTTGTTGGGGTTGTTCCTGTCCCGGTTTGGGTTTCTGTTGTCCCGGCCTCGTCCTCTCTTCTGGCCTCTGTCGCTTCGGTCGCCATTGTCCGCCGTGTCATTGGATTCGGCATTTGTGGTCTCGACAACAGGGTCAGCAGCGGCTGCTGGCGGAGGGACAGGTGGTGTGTCGTCGGCGGCCATTTTGATAGTAAGCGACTTGTGAATAGCATCAGCAACAGTGTAAAGGTGGAGCGGCCGGCGAAGTGATGGGCAAACATTAAATTAAATTTATTTTCCCTGGCGCTCTCTGATGCGCTTATCGCACTGTTCCTTACAACAAGGGAGGGACGGGCTGTACCTTGCCTATCGTGGTCTAGCCATGGCGATAGCACGGACCCTTTACGCGGGGAGGTGCTCGTTCAGTGGATCTAGTGATCTTCTTTGACTCCACCGCAGCAGCGACACTGTTAACTAAGTTCTTGGCAGTCATCACCTACCTCCTTCTCTTCTGTTTCCAAGCACATCCACTCCCTTCATTTTCTGTCCTGAAATCAACCATTTGCGTGAAGCCATCCCCGTTATTGGTGCCTCGACGGAAGTCTCACAAAAACATGTCATCCCTCCGAAACTCCGACTCTGCTCACCACCAACACAAGCATGATTGAAGACATCTCGACGATGGAATGAGGCTTGGAAATGTCTTCAACTTCTCCTTCTCACCTCCTCATGTTTTTACACTCTAGCGATACGTTAACATGACTATTCGAGGTAGGCTCTGCTACGATGAGTATCGGCCTTTCTCCATGCGAATCAAAGGCTCGATGTTGTCACACAAACAAGCATCATGGCTTGGGAAGAAGGCTGTGAGGAGGTAGCCATGAATGGCTGTACATCAGACCGCCCCCGCCACGTTGGGCTTTCAACAGCGCAGTTAAAGCTGGTCAGCTTATTTACTCTAACCATCGACCTCGCCCACTCTTTTCTTCAAAAGTACACCAACACCCTCTACTCTGAACCACGTCGCCGACCCACGACCCTACCACGAGTAGCGCTCCTGGCCCCGGACTTGAGTTGGAAAACATCCTTTCGAGCTGCCGCGATGGACCATGGGAATCAGTACAAGCACCAACGGATCGACCTGTCTACCGATGCCATTCGACTGGTTCGTCTCCTGAGAGGAAATCGCCGGGACCCCATTCAGTGCGAACTCTTCGAAACCTTCCTCCACCAGGTGGAGGGTGTACCCTATGAAGCCTTGTCATATGTCTGGGGCGATTCTCCCGTCGCTTGTGAAATCGTCATCAATGATCGGAGGTCGCTTGTCAAGGAAAACCTTCACATGTCCCTCCTCGCTCTACGGCAGACCTATGAGGACAGAGTCTTGTGGATTGACGCCATTTGCATAGACCAGAGTAACGATAAGGAAAAAGGCCACCAGGTCGGGCAAATGAGACTTATCTATGAATGTGCCCAACGAGTCATGGTCTGGCTTGGCCCAAGCAACCTCGAAATTGATTTCCTCATGAATACCACTGCACGGTGGGATTATCAAGCACGGCAACAACCAGGAGCCCAACACAAACAGAGCTGGATCGATTCCTGGACCACGTTCACTGCTGACGAGACCGGTCTGTACAAAGAGGAAGTCACTGCTCGACGTCGCAGTTCCTTGGAAGAGATACTGGACCGACCTTGGTTTCGAAGAGTTTGGATCCTTCAAGAGGTTGCCAGCGCAAATAAGGTTACGATATTGTGCGGCTCGAAAGCAATGTCCAGCCAAGGCTTCGGTCTTTTGCCCTTTCTACTGGGGTTCGAACCGGACCCTCATATCGAAGCAGTTCTAGACATCCTTCCGGGGTTTCGCCGGAAAGAGAGCTGGTGGGGTGAAAAGCAAACTCTTGAGACACTCCTCCTCAAGTTTGGGACGAGTGAGGCGACCGATCACCGGGACAACATTTATGCCTTGCTTGGCATTGCTTCAGACGTTCGCGCCAGCAGCGCCCTTCTCCCAGACTACGAAATTTCGCTGGGCCGCGCTATATGCCACACCATCTCATTCTTACTCTTCAACGAGGCTTATGACCCGTCTGCCCGTCCCTTGCCCGAGGTTGTGGACTTCGCTACATTCATCCGTATTTTGCCAAACCTCTCAGACTATTTTTTGGGCTGGGCGTTGCAAAGACATGATGATATCGCAGCGGCAACTGTTGTGCCAAAAGCTGTCGATATCAACAGATATTACCATCTACCAAACCTTGCGCCTGTTACTGGACTGTCACCTCTAGGGTTCATCATCGGAAAACCTAAGCTGGACAACACGTTTCGGGCAATCTTAGCACGACATGATGCTGATATCGTGCTATCCACATCTCACCTATGTGGTGGGGATGGAAGGTTCACTGATATCTACAAAGAGAAAGAGGAGACGGGAAGCGATTGGCACGCCCGGAAAATTTGTCCAATGTGTCGAGGTGATCTACGTCGGAGACACCTAAAGCTCCAGAATTGCGCCTTGAAACAACTCAAGCACATCCTCCAGCATCCAACTGCAGGCAAGGCGAAAGTCAAAGATTTGCAACCGCTTTTTCATTACGCTGCCCTAACTTCTCAACCCACGATTTGGGAACTGCTGTTCGAAGTCACTCAGTGTATTGATCTGGAGAGTTCAATCGATAGTCTGACCAAGGCCTTGTCTGACAGGATGGGAGGTGTTTCACATTGCACGCGTCATTCTACGGCTATATATGAGTGGTTTGATGATGCTGTTGGATGGACCACCAATTTCGTCAGGCTCATGGATTTCTTGTTTCGTAGCAGACGGACATCTCTCGTTAAGTTTCAGTGTGCAGACGAGTTGGCTGAGTTGTTTGTCCAAGTTTCCTCTGTGTCACGCGAGGCATCCCCGGATTATCTTGTGAAAATCATAGCAGCATGGCGACTTATGAGAACAGGAAAGCGGCTGTTTGCGGACACTGATGACAGACTTATGCTCGATCTTTACAGTAAGTGGCACGACTGCTTTGTATGGATCAAGGAAGAGCTAGAATGGAAAGATTCAAAAGAGTTGGCAGAATATAGGCTCATAAGCGAACAGCTCTTGTCGCAAGTCCCGGGAAGAGTCATTGGCGAAGTCGATGTCATACCCTCTAAAGAGCTAAATCCAATGCTGAACTCAAGCTAGGTTCTCTTCCAGGTTGGAAAAGGGGGAAGTGGATTTGTCCTTGATGGTGGTTTCTAGCATCTTTTGACAGATGTCTACGTACGCGCTTCAATGGCGCAGATGAGGTCGGATTGCATGAGTTGGGACATCATTTTTGCTTGGATCTGTTTCCGACCGAGCTTGGCGGTTTGGTGGGATGTTTTCATTGTTGCTGAGGCTGAACGCGTCTTTTTTTTTTTTTTTTTTTTTTTTTTGTTTGTTTGTTGAGATGGTTGCACGTTCGATATCTTTCTCTCTGGCTGGGATAAGAGACGGCGATGGAGCTTGCCAATGCGTCGTCCTTCGCTACTTCAACCACACGTCATGCGAAAAGGCATACTCAAGGATATGTGTCACCAGTCGAAGGCGCCCAGGCTTGGTCAAGGGCAGGACTACCGAATTTTCCACGGCTTGGACAACTTGGGTTATCACAGGGCAGAATTGTCGTTATGGCGATGGTACCCTAATGATGATGTTGATTTCAGTTGTCCACCAATGATTTAATGAAACTCTTCGTTTTGGGCATTAGGGGATCCCTTGGAATCATGCGGAAATATCAACGCTATTCATACTTTACAGTCTCGCCAAGTAGTGGTGATAAAGTCAGAATCCCGGACCGGATGAGCGATTCGAAAAGCGACGAGCAACCGAGAAAGCGCATAAAGAACCCACGATGGGTCAAGCTACCGGTATTAACAATTCTATCGCCGCCCTAAGAAGGGTCCGGAATCCAGAGTGTTCCCCTTTACACCACGCGATGGAGGATGCGGATACCTGATAAACGAATTGGAATGCCACAAGGTGTTACGCAGCACAATGCCTCACTTATCTTCCCGTGGGGGCGGACTCCTCCATTATGTCTTGGATGACGCCGAACCGGCGGCTGCCAGATATCCTGTATCTCCCACATCCCCCAGCCAAAAGGAGCCTCTGACGTCCAGCTGGAACATACCTATAGTCGTAACTGGAAGAGAATTGAAACTTGTATGGAGGATGAGGCACTGAGCGTTTCATCAACCGGACATATTGGTAACTGGAGAATTGTATTCACTTGCATCTCTCGTCGAAAGGAGAAGATCGTTAATGCGAAATCTGGCTATTTGCCCAACCTCAACACACCTCTACACACGAGCCATCTAGAACCATGGAAGTACGGAGCCTTGTCAGGTCGCCTCTTGCATTGGGTCTCACCAAGCAAAGAGCAGGCGTCCTTGACGCATTTCTGGAGCTCTGCCACAGCCGGGGATCCCTTGAACACCCGGTAGGCCTCTCAAACGAAGACGTCCGGGACGATCTGAATGATGAAAAAACGACCCTTTGGTAGGCCTTTACCCGCTTTCATCCCGTCTAAAACCTTCTTCAGCAGCTATGATGAACATCACTGGCAAATATGCAGAAAGTTCCTCCGCGGACGTCCCTTCAACCCAGATAGAGCCCCTACGCAGTTCGACGAAGCGCAAGAAATACGCTCGAAACAAGCAGCATACGACACTATCGGCATCACCGACTTTGAGAATACCAAGGACATGGTACGTAGACGACGACCCGTCAACATGAGCCAAGCTGAAATATCAATCTTGGAAACGAACGGGCGGGAAAGTGAAGCTAATCCTCGGAACCCTCAATCTCCGTCTATCGAGTACCGTCACTGGTCCGACCGACGGGACAAACGCGGCCTACCCATTTGCCTCCTCGACATTGTCTCTCTCGATTATCGATTACACAGCCACCACGAAGAGCTACGGCAAGGACCGGACAACTCCCGACGCGACGCGACGGATAGTTCTGTTCCAGTGATGACCTGACCTGTGCTCGGCCATGCAGCGAGACCACCACCCCCGAGAACTACATCGTACCCCTGACAAGCGCGGTTTATCTCGTTGATATTGCCAGCTTTGCGTTCAAACAGACATGGGACGTACGTGCGTATGCCCAGGATATTAACAAGCTGTTGTTGACTTTGCTATCCCGAGGTTGTAGCCAGGGTTGATGTGAGTTGTCGTATGCATTTTAATATTGGGAGTAGTTGCCATGATGAATGTCTCTTTTCTTTTGCCGATACGATGGACAAAAAGATCCTCAATGCTTAATCATTTTTTTTCTCAGATCTGGGGCGTGTATCAAGTTCATTGTTGACGAGCAGGGTGGGCAGGAGTATCGTGGCAGTGGGCACCACAACAGATGGAAAGCTCAGGAAGGAACTAGTGGCCCGGCTTCCATGAGCAAATCTCCGGGTTTGCGTGATGGATCGATGGATGTCGCGCATCTGCGGCTGTAAAGGCAAGAAGAGACATGGAAAGGGAAGAACATTACGAGAAGCGATATCATGGAGTCCACCGGGGTTGAGCAGTTGGTTGACAGTTGGGTGCTACATGTCAAATTTCGAGTCCAGATGACCATGACGGCAACAACAACAGACATCAAACGACAATTATTACGAGCATCAACGGGACCGATGTACCTCCCTGATTCACCCCCAAGGCCTACGAGTGAGGAGGCTCAAAGGGGAGCCCAATTGCTTGGGCATGAAACCGGCGTAGTATCAAGCCCGAGATATCAGACCAGATAATCAAGGCTGCGCACGACAACAAGGCTGCAACACAACTGCTCGCCCCGTATACTTCATCCCAATGCTTTGCTTGAACGCTATTTACTGCGTATGCTAATCTCCTTCCATTTCAGGTAGTCTAGCTAGTGGCCTTCATTGGAGATAGCTTCCCCTGATGTTTTTTCATTTGCCAACGACCGGGACAATTGTGTGGCGATAACAAGGAAACTTCGTGCAAACCATTTCAGGTCCCAGATTCCAGGAACTCGGTATTAACCTTGCCCCAACGTTCCAACAAGCAAAGGCACGACGAATCGGCAGCGCTGTAGCCCACTCATGATTTGATGCCGTTGAAGCGGATGGTTCCCGCCGAGCCGAGGCCTGCACGGCGTTCCCAAAACGGAAGGGCTGTCGTCGGCGGGCTCATGGGAAGCTCGGCTACGCCCGCGAAGTGAAAAAAGAGACACGTCCCTTGTTTGGCTGTCAATGGTAAGAGGGAGTCGCAGAAGATCCTTACGACATATCTGATATCATTTGTTTGCCCTTGAAAACCGTCTGTCTAGTGCTATGAAGCGGGCAATATTGCCCATGTTCCTACTAGTTTTGGGGACTAGCCTACTGCACAGCTCCTGATAGTGTCTGCAAATATTTTTTCCTTCTCCTGACGCCGGTGTTTACTTGCCCTAAACAGAACCCCCTTAGTCCTCAATGGTCGCGTTGTATCCTGGTATGGAAGCTGCATATTGGCATCATCCACAAAGTGACGGCCACCCAATAGGACAACACTTGGCCCTTACACCGGCCTCTTGAGGGTGTGTTCCTTGAAGAGGGCTGCGGAAGCCGCAGAACCGCAGCTGCTGACAGCATGACAGCTCGTTGCCCCCCCCCCTGGCAAAGCATGTTGCGCATGTTTTGGATACTACCATGACACAGACGACAGGCCTTCTAGTGGATGTAAACATCTGCCCATGCCCAACGCCGCGGTAGATCATCGATCTTCCCCATCCTTCGGGTTCCCAATTCCCGCCTGTCTGTCTCGCCAGTACCCAGCACTAACGTGGGGGTGGGTGAAGAGTGGTTGGCTGAATATCCATCATGCACTCCTGCGTTCTGCCGGGGGAAAGAGGCTGCACTGTTTGCATTTTCTGCCCATCATCTCCCCAGACTAAGTCCTCCGCCATTGCGGCCCTGCTCCCCGGGCTCACTGCAGAGTTGACATCTCAAGAAGCCCAGACTCAAACAGCAGGCCGGCTAGTCGCCCAAGGGCAGCTGGAAGTCGAGGCCACATCGTGGCCCTTCCTGAGCGTGGCTAACCGCAATCGTCTTGCCCCCGTTCCACGGTACAGTCACGGCAAAGTCGCGGGCAGGCACGGGTAGCCAGGACTACAGTCCCTGCTCGCCACCGGGCTGCTGATGGGGCTGCAAACCGCGAAGCCGAGACCAGGAAAGGCAATGGTCATGTCCACTCCTCCCAGCTGAGCCTCCTGTCACTTGACGAGAGTCGTGAGATATGATAGCTCCCTCCCGGGCCCTGGCCGGACTCGAAAAGCAGGCCTAGAAGATATGCGGCCCGAATGTTTTCCTCGTGCGCTCATTTCAAGTACGAGCGGAATAAGAAACTGGAACTTGCTCCATCAACGGAAAGGAAAGATCAGTCATCCCATCTAGGAAATCCAGCGTCCACAATGAGCATGGTCTCCGCCTTCACCTGCCTGAACTGCCATCAGGCTCCATCACAATCTCCCGGTGCAAAGAGATGGGATGACTGAATGGGATGGACACTAGTCAAAACAATGACCCCCTGATACCCACTCCTTGGCGCCATGTAGCTTGCGGGGAAGATAACTCGTCAGCAAGAGATATCAGAATAATACTTAGACCTCTTGATATCACTGACTCTGTATATCTGTGTTCCAGCCCGAGGCACTTGAAACGTGGTGAACCATCATTCAGACTTCCGTCAGTAATAGCCACCTCCACTTCCTTTGCCTTGCTTTGCACTCGTTCTGTCACATTGCAATTGTCACACTCTCATCGTCTCTCTTCGGATCTGCCGAGCACACCTCGACCCTACACTCGCCGAACTCCGACACTCAGCTGTCATCTGAGATCCTATTGACCAAGCCTTGGAGGTTCCCGCTCACTGGCACCGCCTTTCCATCTCCCCACTACCGCAGCCAGAAACTTGAGCCAACCATATCCAACCCAGTGAAGGAACAGGTGGTTAGAGTCAAGGCATCCACCCAGAAAATTCTCAGGTTATCCCGGAAAGTTCGTCCTCGGCTGCCTACTTAACTCTTGCATGACGAACCAGAAATCCCAACCAGATCTGACCGCACCGCGCGCACGAGCCCGACGATTTGTTGACCGTTGTCAGGCAGCAAGGAGGAGTTCTTTGAACACTTCCCCTCCCGCATCACCACACCACGCCATCGTTGCGGGGCTCCTCCACCGACCCGGAGGGCAGCAGAACACCCTTTGGAGCAAGACAAGTGCCCCGCAAAGACGCAGAGCAGCGGTGAAGATCGAGAAGAATTATTGAGGGGAAATAATCGAAGGTATACAGAGATACTATCGAGAACTTTGACGGCAGTGTGGTGAGAATCACACCCGACTGGTCTGTCCTCCACCAAGGACCTGGACGACGGCGGAGAACAGACGTAAGGAACAGGCTTGCAAAGCAACTTGGAGCTCACCGCCGACTTTCTCTCCAGCGAAGACACCAAGAAGATGTTTATCAGTGACCCAAGACCCTCTCAAGAGGAAGCCGACGAGATGGTTTGGCACAATAACCTCCTCGAAGCAGCCACTACACCCTCAGTTACTGCTACAACCGGCTTTCCACCTCCTTCTCACAACAACCTTAATGGTCTTGACAACCAGTGGAACAAATACGTGAATCTAGAAGACTTCTGTCAAACGGCACACACCAACGACAGCACCACTGTTCCTTCCCTCCACCACATTCATCACAATCTTCAGTTTGACCCATCTTCTTCTCACCTAGACATGGACATGGACATGATGACTTCCTTCAACACGTCCTTTGACACCATGTCTGCGAGTTCGCCGTCGGTGGGCGCCACATGGAGCGAATCATCTCCAGAGTACGAGACGTGTCGCCAACATGAGGGACATGGTAACAGCAACAACACCAGCAGCAGCTTCAACCGGCCTTCCACTGAGAGCAATCCAAGTAATGACGCACAGTCTTTCTCTCCCACGAGTGACGCAAGCTGGGGTTCGTCTCCCGCTTCGGTATGTGTGGAGTTCTCTTCTGTTTTCCTGTCTTTTGTCTCCATCTGTGTCTCTGTTTCTGTTTCTCTTCTCCATTCCTTTTCCCGATACATTACCCCAATCCCTTCGCTTTCTTCTTTGTTCATCTTCATATACAAACAAACCAACATTGAACATGTTACTGATCAGAGAATACTTCCAGCAGCAGATTCAGGGCAGCTACATGGACCTTTCGGATACCATTGCCACCACCACTACCACTAGCGCTAGCATCACCTTTCCCCACAGCAACAGCAGCATGTCTGCCTATCCCGGTCATCAGCAGCAGCAACAACAGCAGGCAACAGAGCTATCACAACACGGACTTACAGATGCGTCCGCGTGTCTACAAGGAAATGTTGAGACAGACACTCTGTTCAACAATGCCAGTGGTGCTCCTCCTAACCAACAAACTCTGCCGAATTTCGGCGTGGTCTGGACCTCAGCCCCGTCGTCATCACAGCCATCCATCATCTCGGCTTCGTCCCCGTTTGTTGCTTCCCATCAAGCTCAACCAAGGTGGCACAACCTGCACCAGTACTCTGTCTCTGGTGAGCCGATGTTGGATGAACCTCGGTTGTCCTCGTCACTTTCCCTCGACAACATGTCCGAAGGAGGCATGTCTACCATGCCCCCCAGCCCCATAGACCCGTTCCACAATATTGGCGCTGGCACTGGTCACCACTCACTGCCTCTGGGGTATGACGGCCTCCCCAGCCCTACGCATAGCAGCTTCGGAGTTGGACCCTCTTCTGCCAACGGCAGTGTCTCACTTCAGCACCAGCACCAACAGCAGCAGTACCCATCAGTCATGCTCAACGACAGCGGCCTTCCGTTTGACACCAATGGCGGTAGTAACTTTTCACATCATCCGTCCTCGTCGTCCTCCTCCTCCGGTGCCAGCGGTGGTGACGTTCTCTTCCGAGGCCCCATCTCCAACCGCACGGTATTCGACTACCCGCCTTCGGGTTCTTCACACTTTCAACATGACACCAATGTCGCCGTAAAGACTGAGGGGCCAGTGGCTGTTGCGCCCACCTCACTCTGGCTGAACAACCCTCACCACAAAACACCGACGCCTCATCCCTCTCCCGAGTCATCCCCCATTGGTGCAAACAGCTTCTTCCATCAGAACCAGATGCCTCTGCCTCTTGACTTTGGCAGCAGCAACGCTCATTTTGGAAGTAGTCCGCATATCAACACCAGCCAACTACACCCGCACTACGTCCAACAACAGCAGGCAAGCAACCGGGCACAACGCAAGTCCCTCCCTCACAGCCCCCCGCATCGTGGAATGGGCGGTGGTGGCCGGCCATCCAGCCCCCGTTACAACCCCGCCGTCATGACAACCCGAGAGATGCTCCCTTCTCATCCCAACTCTCCTTCCATAGCCTGGGCACATCACCAGGGCCAAGGCCATCCTCACGGTCTTCCTCATCACCATCCCCTGATGATGAAGCCAAACACCATTCCCTCCCACCATAACCAGCACCCTCACGCCTCACTGGCTTCCATGTCCTCCCATTCCCGGAGACAACAACCCTTCCACCACGGCGTCCACCCCTACCATAGCCTGCCCTCCTCTAATAGCAAGCGTCGCAATCAAGGTCATCAAGACCACGTAACGGACCACCTCAAGCGCGCTAGAGCGGAACAAGATGCGCTTCTGGTGAAGCTTCGCAACCAAGGAAAGTCGTACAAGCAGATCCGCCAGATTGGACGGTTCACGGAGGCGGAGTCTACTCTCAGGGGACGGTATAGGACTTTGACGAAGAGTAGGGAGCAGAGGGTTAGGAGGCCGGAGTGGACTGATAAGGATGTGAGTACCCTATTTACCTCTTTTCTTTGGAGTGTCGCGTGAGTGCTGTGGAGTGGTTACAAGGGAAAAACAAGGGCTAACTTCAGTGAAAACAGCTACGTCTCCTAGAAAAAGCCGTCCGCGAATTCGCCAAAGGGCCATTAAGCGTTACTTACTCCAACCCTTCCTCTTCCTCCTCTTCCGCTGGCCCACCTTCGACTACAACACCACCCACCGACGAAGCCATGAGCATCACCTCCCTCGTCTCCAGAGACACCACCAGCACCAGCACATCCTCCACCACCTCCCCCTCTTCCTCCTCCTCTTCTACAACCCAACCAGCAGCCCCAAAAACAACTCCCAAAGGCATCCCAACCACCACCACCAAAATCCCCTGGAAACAAGTCTCCCACTACATCTTTTCCAAAGGCGGGTCCTACAAGTTCGGCAACGCCACGGTCCGCAAGCGATGGGAGGAACTGATGCGGGACCAGCTTGCAAGAGGCAAGGATTTGCAAAAGCCGTTTTATGAGCAGCGGAGTAAGCGGAGTGCTTATAGCCATTTGCTTTCCCATTCCCATTCCCATTCCCAATCTCAGTCTGGCTCTGTCTCTGGCTCTTCTTCCGCTTCTGCTTCTGCTTCTGGGCTTGCTGTGTCCAGGGGTGCTGCTTCTGTCCGTCAGGCTCAGAGGGCCGTCGTGGGTGAGAACAGGGCCACAAGCATGGTCAAGCGTGAGCCTGCTTCTTCTTCTTCTTCTTTTGTGAAGCCGGAGAGAAGGGAAGAAGAGAAGGACAACAACAACAACAACAACAACAACAACAACAACAACAACAACAACAACGTCAATGACGGAGATGGTAATCTTGCTTACTCTGATTGGCTGGATATGAGTGCTCTAGGGGATGATGCTGAGGAGAACCATAACGGCCACGGCAACGGCCACGGCAACGGCACTGATGGCGATGGGGAGTATGAGCTTTCTGATGCGTCTGATTCGGAAGAAGATGAAGAAGAAGAAGAGGAAGAAGAAGAGGATTCGGATGATGATTACATGGAGGAGTGATCGCCGTCGGCACATCATCCTCTTTCCACCCTCTCTCTCTCTTTTCCTACAGATCGTTCTCACCTTCCGGTCTTCATCTACCTGGTTTTCATTCACCCTAACCACAAACCTGTCGTCACTTGATGGCTTTCCAAATACGCGAGAAAAATGTGTGTGTGTATACATACCTACGAGCTCCCTTTTCTGTACTTTTGTTAGTACCGTGCAGCCTTTTCTGTACCGATACAAAACAGGATGGGGCTCGTTATAAGTACGTTGGTATCACTACAAACACATACATATACACGCGCGCACGCAGGGAGATAGACAAGCTGATGAACAGACGACACTGGAAGGGCTCAGATGGGTGATGGTGGATGATACATAATATGGTAGATGGAGAGGTGAGGAAAGGAAGGTGGAGGCAGATCAATAAGGAAGGAAGAAGAGACCTAGATAGACAGAGAAACGGAACTCAACACAGGATAGGTAATAGCACCGATACGCGCCAGGGATGGGAATACGAAATGGAAAGGAAAAGGAAAAGGTGACGGGACTTAATGGACAGGACCACCCGAGGAAGGAAAAAAAAAAAGCAAAAAGGAAAGGAAAAAGGGAATGTCAAAAGGACCTGGCGTTGCGTTTCGGTGTATACATACATACATACATACACTAGCTATTACTTCATCCAGGAGTTCGGATATTTCCGCGGGTTTCTTCTTTACTGCTGTCATTTTCCTATCGTTCTTCTGGTGTTCATATGGCGGGCTCGGCTCGGTTCGGGAGACAAGGCAGGCGGAGAGGAAATGGGATGCAAACGGTGGTCACAAGGTCTAGACTTCCACTTGCGGTGTTAGACAGACAGACACAGTTCAGAACCGTAATATCGATTTCATGTTATAGAGAAACACGCTTGGTCGTTGGTAGCGTTCATTGCTGGAGCGATGGTGATGCGTTGTCGTTCAGTGTCGTGATGCCCAACTCCGTCCGGTTAACCGGAGAAGCTCGTTCAATGTCTCACCAACGAACCGGAACCTGGCACACAAGTTGCAAGAGGCCCGACACCCGCCCGCCTCTTCCAACGGATGGATGTACGTAGACGGTTCAAACGGACATCCATCCAGCAGCTTACCACCTCCTGTCCTCACAACACCCCCTTTCTCCCCGGGCTCCTCCCCCCTTCACAGTCATTCGGCACCCCAATCACCCTCAACAACTCCCCTACCTTTTCCGGATTCTTCCTCAACGCATCCCACTCCCTCTGACTCTTGACCAGCGCCGTGCCCGCCAACACAGTCCCATTGAGCGCCAACTTGCCCACCACCACCTCTTCTCCCGTCTCCGGATTCTTTTCCGTTATCGCTGATCCTTCCGCCAGCCGGGGAACAATAACCATGACGTCCCGCGTCATGGCCAAGTTGTACGAGATGGTTGCTTCGCCGCCTGTTTGTATCTCGTCGGCCTTTTCCTCCTCCTCTTCTGCTGCCCCTTTCGTTGTTGTCGAATCTTGCTGTGATGCACGGGACTGTTGTAAAGACAGCTGATACAGCCGCACAGCCTCCCTAGCGCGTCTATACAATCCCAAATAAATCTGGTGCACTTCCTCCCTTGACATTTCTGGCGTCAACCGCTCTGCGAAGGTCTTGAACGGCAGTAGTTTCTTTTCCGTTTCCTTGTTGTTGTTGTTGTTGTTGTTGTCCTCAACCAGTTTCTGCGCCAACACTTCCCACCTCTTCTTCTTCTTCCCCTCCCCCTCTTTTGTTCCCGTCTCCATCTCCGTCTCAACACATTCCAACCCCTCCCTCATTTTTTCCACAACCAAAAGCTGTAAATGCCTATGCGGCTGACTTGCTCCACTATGCTCACCACAATTGAAGAACGCAAACAACTTTGGCTCTTCCCCTACTGTTGTTTCATTTCCATCACTTCTTTCCCCATTGTACTTTTGTTGATAGTGGTGGTGATAAACCTCAATACACCCCCTCACAGCTTCCAAATCCTCTCTCTCCAACAAGTCCGTCTGCTCTTTATACTCCCTCGTACACAGGATAAAGTGTTCAGGGACAATCGCAAACTTGTTCAGCACCAGGTTATGGTGTGGAGGTAGCGGACAGATGAGCATGGCAGGGGAGGGATTATCAAAGGGGTCGAAGAAGGCCAATTTCTTCTTTTTCTTTTCGGGGGGTTCGGCGGGGAGACTGGCATTTTCGCCGCTGGGGATGATGGGGTTGGGCTTGGGCGCTTTGGGCTTGTTGGCTAGCGAAGGGGAGAAGCGGAGTTGGAACTGTGGTTTTGAAGGATAGGTTAGAATTAAGCTTAAAAGTCAGGTTTAGCGGATGGAAGGAAAACATACAGGAATGGAATTGACGTCCACCAAGGTCACTTGGGTCGGATAAAAGTTGACGTCGCCTGATGCGCGCGCCTTGTTGAAGGCCGTCCGGACGAGCTCGGGGAGGTTTGGCGGGGCTTTGATTGGCGACATGTTGGTGTCTCGGGCTGTGTCTGTGTCTGTATTTGCCATGTACAGGTAAATGCGATGCGCTGCGCAATTGACTTTTGTGTCGTTGCGTTCTGTGCGTTGCTGCGTTGGCCGTTGTCAGGAGGAAGTTGGAGAACGTGGGGTCAATTGCCGTCGCGAATAGCTTCGATGAGGTCATGGGTGGCCCGTGCGCTGCTCCCCACGTTGCTTCAGATCATCATGAGCGCTGATGGAACGGAAGTAGGGCAAGCAAACAGTAAGAGTACAACATGGATATTACGAGTAGTCTATGCTATGCCACCGTGTAATGCTACGGGTATCTCACATCCTTCCTGGACTCGGTGGTTGTCGTCCCATCACTCCATCCATAACTTAAACACCAGGCAGGCCAACAATTCCACGCAACGCCGGGACGAAGCGCGGCACAATGTACGTAAAGTACAATCCCATGAGCGCGACAAGAAGCCCAGTAAGCTGTGAATCTGTTAGCAATGTCCTTCCACAATGGAGGTAACTTCGTCAACGGGGATAAACTCACCTTCTCAAACCACGTATGAAAGTAAATCGCCGTCATCAACAACATCCACGCACTCAATCCCACCACTACAAAGACCACCTTCCCCCCATGTCCCAACGCATCCCACAGCCCTCCTCCCGTCACCACGTCCCTCACCTCCCTAGCCTCATCCATCTCCGGGCTATAATCATCCCACCTCTTATCAGCAGCCAAATCCGTTCCCGCCGACTTGACCGCCCCATCACCCATCACCACCGTCCTCTCATCCCTCACACTCCGTCTCCAATAATGCCTCGCAACCACCCACCCAACCTCCTGCACCAAAAACGCACTCCCCAAAACCAACAAAAACACATGACCCGAGATATCGTGGCCGCCCTGCCACTTGCCTCCAGCCGCCTTACACGCCGCCGCTGTGACGAACTCCTTCAAGCCCGCCACATCCACGTTGCTCCCAACAGGCCCAGGCATCGCATCCGCCTTCACCTGCGCATTCACCCGCCCTTGCGCCTCCTGACACTTACCCCCCGTGACACGAAACCCGCGATCCACAATCGCCGGTCCAAAGAACCATTGTGTCACAAAAACCCACCAGAGCGTTACTAGGCCCCATCTCACCACGGCTTTTATTTTTCTTCCGGTTCCATTCTCCCCCCGAGTTCCAGTGACGTTGTTGTTGTAGCCAGGATGACTAAACAAAAACCCAAAGAAAGAAACAGTAATCCAGAACCACGCCCTCTTGACGAAAAAGACGTTGAACAAGTTATCTTTGCGCGCAAAATACGAGGGGACGGCAGCGCCGCTTTGGACGTGCGATTGCGAGACGAAATCGTAAGGACTGGCGCGGGCGGACGGGTTGAGTAGGGAGAAGAGGGTGCCGAAGAGGAGGAGGGTCGGGTACAGCGCGAGAGCGACGAGTTCGGTGCGCGTGGGGTAGTGCGGGTTGTTGCGCTGGCTGGTAGTAGTTTTGGTAGTTTGGGTTCTTCCCCCGTTGGATGACGAGAGTTCGGGGGAGGAAGCCATGGTGGAAGAGAGCTTGCGATGGGTCAAGGTTGCGGAGGGTTGTTCGTCGGGGGAGGAGGGGATGGCTGTGGCTGGTGGCGCGTCCATTTAGGTGGTGGTGGTTTTGTTTTTTGGTTTTCGTACGGCGTAAGTTAATCGTCGTTCGACAGGATTGTTCGTTTGGTTATCGCAAGGGAGAGTGACTTCGCGATTGCTGGTGTGTTGCCAGTTCAGGGAGAGCGTGAGCTTGTGAATAGTTCGAGTAATGACAGTTTGTGTTTTAGGACGTAGTCGACATGGCAGGAAATAAAAGGTCTGAGACAAGTAGCGAGAAGTGGACGAAATGAGATCAGCAACAAGTTGTGACGATATTCTTGCTGTAGTCGTCCGGCCTTGCTCTTTTTGGACCCAGAGCCAAGGAGGGAGTGTGTCGCGATGCAAGATTGTTTGAGGGACCGAAAGGCCGCTATGACGTTACTACCTATCGACCTGAGCTTGCCTGCCCCGTTTGCGCCGGTCTTGCCAAGTTGCGACTTCGCTATGACTGCGACCGAGGTTGATGACTCAGCAAGCAAGTGCGTACTATATCTGAAGCCGGCAATAACCCTAACCCGTAGAAGCAGCCAGCACAATCAGGAGACATCTGCCATCAACGCCATCAACGCCACGGTCACCCATCACCAAACCAAGCACACACTTTACTATGAGTCACTCAAACAATGAACAAAGACAAGTCCTTTTGAATCAAAAATCTATTTTCGGCAGTCTTCACCCATTGGATAAAGAGACGCCATCATATGTTCATGAAGGGTGGTGCTTGCTATATACGAATCTCCTTTTTCTTTCTAAACACCGACTTTTCCATCGTGCTGAATATCAATGCCAAGGTCAACTGGTATCATATGTAAAAAGTGAAGCCGCAAAGTTTCCTGTGTGTAACCCTCCATTGTGAACCCCCCTCTGTTGTTCAAGGTGAACGCCGAACCAAATGATGTAGAAAAAGCAAACTGATGCAGAAATAAGAAAGATGAGACCGAAGAACCAAGATGAAACCAATGAAAAATTCAAGACAAAAGGTGAAAAGGCGTCCTGAATGTCAGGCCGTTCAGAAGAATCGAAAAATGTTGGTCATGAGAAGTGAAATCCAAGAAGAAGAAAAAAGTGGCCAAGGACCAAGAACCTCTTTGCGCGTTACATAGCACTACTCACAGCCCAACCGCCTAGATTGAAGACTGGAACAGCGCCAGCGTCGCGCAAAAGTTGTTCCTGTTATCCTTGTCCTCCGCCATGGTCTGGCCGTCGATTGTCAACATGTTCAAACTAGCCTTGGTGCTCAGACCAAAGATGCTGACCGCGCTGTTCTCGAGGGAGACCATGTTGGTCTGGCACGACTGGGTCTTGAGGCAGTCCTGGTCGTAGTTGTTGAAGAACGAGTACAGGCCGGCGCCGAAGATGAACACATCCTTGGAGTTGACGGCGCGGACACCCCAGGCGCGCTCGCACGTACCGGTGCTGTCACCCTGGCAGGACTTGGCAAAGTCGGGGTCGTCGTACTTGGCATTGACCTCATACGGCTTGGTGGAGATGGGGTTGCCCTGGAAGTAAGGGGTTTCGGTCTGGATCAGGCCAAGGTAGACGTTGGACGCGTTGGAGAACTGGTAGTTGTAGAGAACCGAGTGCTCCGAGGCGGTACCCCAACCCCAGACAGGGCCCTCACCCTCAATGAGGACACCGCGGCCGTTGAAGATATCAATCTGCTTGTTGTCGGCCTCGGGCTCGAGGTCGTGGTCGGCAACCCAGAACCACGTGTTCTCGAGGTAGACGGAGCCCTTGGTAGGAACGTGGAGCATCATGAAAGAGCCGAAGCAGTCCTCGGGGATGGCGTTGGTAGCCTCGGGGTTCTTGCCGCACTTCTGGAGCTGGAGATCAGTGCCGGCGTAACCACCGACACGGGCGTGGACATCCCAGAGACCAGCGTCACCCTGCTTGGTACCAGCGACGTTCCACTCGATCAAGATAGCACCGGGCTGAGGGCCAGCAGTACCAAAGATGAGGTCCGACATCTCGACGACGCCAGTGTCACCGGGCTGACCGACCTGGAAGAGAGGCTTGGGGTCCTTCTGGTCCTTGAAGAATGTGTCGCCGCCAGCGAGGATCATGGGCCAAATCTCACCAGTGATGCGGACGTTCTTGGGAACCTTGATGGTCTTGGTGATGAGGTAAGCACCGTGGTCAAAGTAGACAACCTGATCCTGGGTAGCCTTGTCAAGGACGGCCTGGATGGCGTCGCTGTCATCAGTCTTACCATCACCCTTGGCGCCGGCAGCCTTGACGCTCAAGAAAGAGCTGGCGGGAACGTTCTCATACTGAGGCCTGGAACGGGTGAAAACCCTGCCATTGGAGTCAAGGAGAACATCAGGCTTCTTGATGGCGGTCTGAGGGCTCTGAACCGCCTTGCCAGCGCTGCCGGGCTTGCCAGTGTAAGCGCGTCCCTGCGCGAAGAAGCCGACCTTCTGGCTGCCCTCGAGAATAGTAGCCCCGGTGGCATTGTTGTAGACGGCTTGAGAGGTACCGGTCATGTCGACATTGTCAAGAATGAGAGTGCCGTTGGTCTCAGGGGACTGGGGGTCATAAGCAGTCTTGACGCCGATGGGAGTGTTGCTGAACTTGCTGTCGACAACGAGGACGGAGCCAACCGTCTGGGCAGTGGGACCACCGTTGGACATGTCGATGCCGACCTCGCAGTTGTTGATCTCGACGCCCTGGAAGGTCCAGGCCCAGTTCCAGTTCATGTAGATGGCAGTCTTGCAGTCGTTGAAGGTGAGGTTGCGAGTCGTGAACTGCTGGTTACCGAAGAAGGCACCGAACTTGCCGCCGTTGAAGGTCAAGTCGGTCATGAAACCGCCCGAACCGTTGTCCATGAAGATACCCTGCTGAGCATTCTCGGCGCCACCATCCTTGCGCATGTTGAAGACCAGGTTCTGCAAGCTCGTTGCCTGGGCAACCTGCCAGTGGATACCGGCGCCCTTGTTGACAGGCATCTTGGTGAGGTCGATGACAAAGTTGCGAATCTGACGGAAGAAGTTGTTCTGGTTCACCCACCAGTTCTCACCGCCATCCTCGTAGGGATCGGAATCGATGACAGCCATGCCTTCGAAGTTGGGAGCGGCCTGGAGGGTCGGGGGGCTGACAGCATCGCCGACAAGCTGAGTGTAGTAGAGCTGAATGAGGGGCTTGCTGACAACGTAGGTACCGGGAGGGAAGTAAACTAGGGCAGGAGTGGTCGTTTGGGAGGAGCAGCCCTTGCCGCAACGCTTTCCATCAGAAATAGCCTTGTTGATGGCCTCGGTATCGTCAGAGGATCCATCGCCCTTTGCGCCGTAGTCGCGAACATTGCGGAAAACCTTGTAGCCGGCGCTGTCCTCGTTGAAGGGAGCGACACCTTGACGATCGATACTGCTCATCCACCAGCCGCCCGTAGCCTGACGGGGCGCTGGAGCCGCCAAGGCTGGAGAAAATAGCCGAATGGCCAAGAGGAAGAAAGCGAGGATGGAAGTAAGGCCCATCATGATGTAGAACCAGCTATATCGTTTGGACCTTTGTTTATGTGTAGACCGGGGGTCGAGGCTCCGGTACTGTGCGAAGGTAAATAATTAGCGAATGTGCCGATAGAACGATTGTGGAAGTTTGGAAGACGCGGAAAATTAATGAGGACAGGGGAAAGATCAGGGGTGCCACGCGGATTAATAAAGAGAAGGGAAGGCACGCCGAGATGGACAATAGAACAATGCCCATCTTCCCTTTGTTCACACTCAATGATGAATAGGGCCGAATGCCGGCGCCCATTGAGTGATCACCAGCGCTGTGAATGCGCCGACAATAGCACAATAGGGCACCCGTGGTCCGTCTGATATTTCAATAGGGCAGGCAAGTCGGGGGTAAGTGCATCATGCAAGTGGGGGTATGTGTGTGTGAAGTTGATGTCGGATGACAGATGCTTGTAACTCACCTTGGTGGTTGAAGATGCTGATGAAGAGCCAAAACGGCTGACCAAGTCGGAGAAAAGTAACGAACAGTAGGAACAGGTCGAATCGAAAATCGAACGAAAGTGGTTGGAATGATTTGGGCAAGGCTGGGCCCGATGTGGGTGAGAATGACTCTTGGTGGCCAGATGGGATGAAGGATGGTTGGGGGGACGACAACTTATACTAGAAGGTCTGCAGGAGCCGTTGCATTCGCATATGCCGGCTTTAGGGTGCAGAGGCTCTGCTTCGTCGTCGAATGTATCAGAGTCACAGTCGAGGACGACATGGCCGGGCGCCTCTTCCGCCCCCATGACCATGGCAGTAGTAGTGCTACGAGGGGTAGGCGTGTACATGGAGGAGTGGTGGCAAGCGGTAGCCGCCTCGACGTCCAGGTCTATCTTGGACATGGGGCTGCTTTCTCACGGGAGCTGCTGTGCCTGGATCCGCAACATGCGTTAGTGATGTTTCCCGGGTTCCCTTGTCCATGATGTGTTCCATGGTAATAGCAGGAGGCGATAAGGCAGATGGCATGTCAAAGCGCTACCGTGGTGACGGTTTCTTCGAAACAACCGCCGAGCTGGGACTTGGACGCTTGGACAGGCTAAAACAGGCGCGTCATTCATCAGAGATAAAACAAAGGACCACATGGCGAGTGTCTTGGTTGGTGTACAAGTCCTTGGGAACTCAAACAAGCTAAGAGCTAGCTCGGAGCATAAACGAAACGGGAGCCTCTTCTCCAACCGCTGAGCCGGGCAGATCAAAGAGGACTCGATTGGCTGTGGATGGTTGGGTGCCTGGATCGGCTGGATGGGGCAGAGCGGGATCGGACGAAGAAACGGGCCAGATCTGGCGGCGGCACCATGTCCAGAGAAGGAAAAGGTTGTACATACACGGCAATTTCACCAATCCAGGGGTTTTGTCAATGCAACCGCCAGTCCACTCAACACCACCAGAAAGGGGCCTGGGGAAACTGGACAACAACAACTACACCACAAG